AATTGGGGTGTGACTTATAATCGGAGAAATACGGCATGCCCAGCAGCAACTCAACTATGCCCAGCAGCCTGGAATAGGTTGTGTACATGCTACCAGTTCAAAACCTTGAAGCTATAGAGCAACCAGGAAATTACCCATAAAGCCGACAAGAACAGCCAAGTGAAAGTTTGCTATGGTCTATTTCCTTGGCATGACGGCGTCGTGGAATAATCGTCTGGAGTGGCAGGTCTATATTACTTGATGACTAGTACTTGGCCCTGTGAACCTTTTTAATGGGCTCCCACAGTATGATGCACAGATATGTATATAATAAATGTAGAGCCGGCCGAAGGATATATTTCAATTACGTATTGCTGTAGTATAAAAACCGAGGCGAAGCCGAGGTTTTTTATAACTGGTATGTACCGTTAAGTACCGTTGGTCCGCCCCCTGTCGACTTTCTGCCAGCAAAGCGACTTCGGCGTATACAACCGTAATACGATGTTGAACCGACGCATGCACTGCTGTACACAATACGTGCCAGTGCAGGATGAAAATGTGCACAATCCAGCACATCGAGTCTGATCTTCTACGTTGTTGTACATCGTACTGCACTTGACAGCCTTGATCTAATTCCCGCCCCCTGCCGAAAACCCAGCTGGGAAGCGACATGGCGTGGGGAGGGGGGGGGGGGGGGGGGGGGCGGATCAACGGTACTTTACGGTAATTGCAATAAATCCTGAAGCTACTACATTTATTATGCATATGTTGACCTGCACCTTTCCCTAAAAAGGAGTATTTAAAAAAACATTTTATAAGGGGCCGTCCGTAAATATCAAACTTTTTTCACCATTGAAGGCAAACGAATTATTTTAGTTAGACCCAACCCCTCCCTCCCTGCCCTTCCCCTCAGAACCGAAAAAAATGTTGACATAGACATGCATTATACAACAAAAGTCGCAAGTGTGTCACTGCTCCTACGGCCATGTACATGTATTAATGCTTGCTAAAACGAAATTGGTCAACCCCCCTTCCACCGCATAACGAAATTATTTCGTTTTGTGAAAAAAGTTCGATATTTATGGACGACCTCTAAAAGCCAATAAAATTAATACTAAATAGAGGTTGCGACTTCGGCGATGATTTTGTTTAGGAATGGGTTTGCTCCCACACTGGAGCTCGCGCTATTCCGCCGACTTGACACTTGACTGACTCACGACTGCCATCCAGAGAACACGAGAAGTCCATCGAACCTTCGACTCGGCAATCCTGCAAGAAAGCACCGCTCCGTGCTCAATACACAGTGTTTCGGGGAATTCACCCCTCATCAGTTGAGCTTGAGTAGGCTGAGGAAGATTGTGCCTGAAGACCACCACTTATATAGTGCTGTCCAGGCACAAACATCACCAGGGATACAAACTTACAGAGACACTCCGTCCAGGAGCGACACTGACTCACGCTGCTATCTGGTGTTCACGAGGTGTTTGTCGCGCTGGAAACGGAGTGTCTCTGTAAGTTTGTATCCCTGGTGATGTTTGTGCCTGGACAGCACTATATAAGTGGTGGTCTTCAGGCACAATCATCCTCAGCCTACTCAAGGTCAACTCATGAGGGGTGAATTCCCCGAAACACTGTGTATTGAGCACGGAGTGGTGCTTTCTTGCAGGATTGCCGAGTCGAAGGTTCGATGGACTTCTCGTGTTCTCTGGATGGCAGTCGTGAGTCAGTCAAGTGTCAAGTCAAGTCGGCGGAATAGCGCGAGCTCCAGTGTGGAAGCAAACCCATTCCTAAACAAAATTAATACTTTTAATATGGCAATAAGTAGGACGAGCTGAAGCGACATGTGGACTACTTACTTGATTGCTATATTATTTCCTTTGTTCTCATTTTGTTCTTTAGTACAACGGTGATTCCTGAAGAGTGTTGTACGAAAACTTGTTCGAATCATCTTTTTTTCCATTGCCTTTTTCTTCTTACATGTATTTCTTCCTTACCCTTTAGGTTGTTTCTTGCATCGTCTCCATCGCTTACATTGTTAATAAAGTAGTCCACATGTCGCTTCAGCTCGTCCTACTTATTGCCATATTAAAATTATTGTCTCCTTGTCGAATTTTTAATACTGTTTATAAAATACTCCTTTTTAGGGAAAATTGTTATTGAGTCAAAGCAAATATATTTGAAATTGATATTGTTGATGGTGTGGCCACTAATTAAGGTGGGTATTTATTAAGGTCAACATATCAGGATATAAAGTGGCTTGAAAGTATACAGGACACACGAAGTACAATCATATACGTGTATAATTGCTGCCTGTGGAGGCAAACTCTAAACATGATGTTCATGGTCTTACCAGGTCGTGATCTGCTAAATGTCTGAGCCAGTTGACCTTGCTCGTTTGAGCCGAATGCCAACACAACACCACTTTTCAGTGCTACCAATGTGTGATCATAGCCACAAGCAACATCTTCTATAGCATTCGCTGCACAAGTCAAATGCCTCATAAACCTGGGAAGCTTCACATGTTCCTCCTCAATGCCTCCTTGGCCGAGTTGGCCCTTCGTGTGCCGACCCCAGGACAACATTACCAAATAAAAAACACCAACGCAGAAGGACCGAAATTTACACAACAGCCATGAGATTGAGAGGGAGAAATTCGAAAATGATTGAGACTCAACAAATGGCGAAACTCCAGAAGGACCCTTAGGTTCAATTCTGAGCTGAGATATGATTATAATCAACGGGTTTTTTTCTAGAAGAACGGAAACCACTTCGCTTATTGTTTATCTTCACAGCTGAACTAAAAGATGTTGAAACTACTACAGTGCTTGAACTGAAATAATTCTGTGTGCCAAAATGACATTTTGAAAGCTCATTTCGAAAGAACGCTGCATGGGATCCTGTTCACGCGTCATTACGAGTACATGACTGTACTCACTATGACTGTGTGTGTGAGTGTGTGTTGTATGTGCCCGGACCCGGCTGACCACCCGCTTCTATAAAGCTTCTTCAATGACTGTGTAGATCTACATAATATTATTGTACACTCGTACAAAGATCAAAGACCCCTGGCTAGTATCAGCCCGGTGTCATGTTGATCTACCCGGGCCCGGGTTTTGGCTACGATCTCGTACTCTCCATGCCATGGCCATGCAGTTGCAGGTTGCAGCGCAGCTGCATGCTCTGTCGAGATGATGTCTCACGCGTGCACGATCTCTGGACCATGGTCCATGGACCAGGGACTCGGATCCCCGTACACTGCAGGACCAGGCATGTTATACCGTATAGTACGGTATACGCTTCTGCTCGTAGCGCTAGCGCTAAATCCACGTGTAAAGTGTGCAACTCCAAGGAAAGAGCTCACGATTTATCACTCATATCCACAAGTGCATGCTGTTTCCCCGTGGTCCTTTTCAGTTTTCTCAACTGTATTTCCTAAATCCAACAACGTCGAAGGCGAGCTGCTTGTGGCTGTTTGTTGAAACGAACCGGTATTATTGAAGCCATCAGTAAGGACTGATCTTCATTGGTCTGAATGATGTCGAAAGGGAGAAAACCTCGGGGACCATCTTTCTCGGCGGATGACAAGGTCCTGTGCTACGAACCCGATCCGACGAAGGCTCGAGTTTTGTATGACTCGAAGGTATGAAATGAGTACATGTGTATGTCAAAGAATTCGCAGGAAACCATTTTTCAAAGAGATATTCTCTGTGGATGGCTCATTCTGCCTTGTAGGTCGTAGAAGTGGAGTATCAAAAAGAGGAAAAGGGCCGCAAAGTAGTGAAATATCTCATTCACTTCAATGGCTGGAATCGAAGGTTCGTACATTTTCGTGTTGAGAATTTCTGAAACATTCTTTTTAATTGCTGTCAATAGAATGGAATATTGTCGACTAAATATTATGTCATCATTGACTAGTTTAGACGATGTACTCTAGCCGCTTGGGATATGAAATCGGGTGTGATGTCGTACCAGTGCCGTGGGTAAAGGTCTCGTACTGATTTATTTTCTGTGTTTTTGTACAATCTTCAGTCCTTAGAAGACCTTGGGTGTCCCTGTCTGTTTGTGTGGATTATTTAGTATATTTTCTATTTTAAAAGTGCAGAAAAATTCTTCTGATTCCATTTAGATTGTGTTGGTTCCATCTATGCATTCAGTCTCACAAATAAGTACCTTGGGTATAGCGACAAATGGTGACTACTAACCTTCCCAATGCCCTATTGGCTTCTGTTCAATCTTGGATATAACAAGTTGCAACAGTTTTCTAGACTGTTCTTTAAAGGGGAAGTTAAGGCAAAAAATAAAATTTCACCAGTTGTAGTCTTCGGGGTGCTGAGTCGAATGGTCTTGGTCCGAGAAAGCTGAGACGCTCCCTTCCTACTTGAATCCCAATCGAACTCGCGCACTTCCACCGAAACTGGGTGACTGCGCCCTACTAGATGGGGATTTGTATGCAAAATGTCACTAAAAGCGCCGTTTCGTTCTTATAAAAGTACGGATGACCGCGATTGGCCCATATGTTGTAGTCTTTTGGACGCTGAGTCGACTGGTTTTGGTCCGAAAAGGCTGCGATGCAGCGTTCCTCCTTTATTCCCAATCGAACATGGTTGAACAAGCGGTCACGTGCTCCTGCGTACACCAGTCAGCTGGTCACCGTGCCTGCAGGGTACAACTTACTAGCCTGTTTGACCTTTTTTGGGTGCAGTCCTGTCACTCGAGTTGAACTCGAGTTGAACCTTGGTGTGAAAGTTGTCGCCTACTGGCGTGGTGACCAGGTGATTTGGGCACCCGGAGGGACGCTGCATCGCAGCCTTTTCGGACCAAAACCAGTCGACTCAGCGTCCAAAAGACTACAACATATGGGCCAATCGCGGTCATCCGTGCTTTTATAAGAACGAAACGGCGCTTTTAGTGACATTTTGCATACAAATCCCCATCTAGTAGGGCGCAGTCACCCAGTTTCGGTGGAAGTGCGCGAGTTCGATTGGGATTCAAGTAGGAAGGGAGCGTCTCGGCTTTCTCGGACCAAGACCATTCGACTCAGCACCCCGAAGACTACAACTGGTGAAATTTTAATTTTTGCCTTAACTTCCCCTTTAATCACAGGACTGACTGCATGTTGTTTGAAAGGCTGCTCTTGTATTAATACTTGAACATTCGAGTACACACACGCACACCATTTGGACCATTAGACGCCCATCGCCAGAGGCGATGATAGCGATGCCACAGCAGAAGCCATAGCAGCTTGTGCTGGGATTGCACCATTCAACAGCTTGCAAGGCTGAAGAATTGACCGCCACTATTCAGCCTTTACACACACACACACACACCCCTGTCCTGTCCTGTCGAGCCACTGCCACAAGGGTCACGTGGAACACAAACAACGAGAGGGCGCCAGGATTCAGGTCACCTACGACTGCTACTCAAGACTGACGTATGACCGGGGGAGAACCTGAGCAGCACACACGCACACACACGCATGCACACACATGCACGCTACCAAGTTGCAACGACAACCTCTTATAAGAATTTGAAGGAACGTTTGCTTTTTGCGAGTACTTGTACTTGGCGCTGAGTGAACAACACCAAAGCACTAAAAGATAAGAAAGGGGTCAAAGAAGCATTACGTACGATATTGCTTATTTAACATGTAGTAGGTGGAACGGGATGGGGCAGGTCTGTCTACATGACGAAATGTATCTTGCTGGAATGCTACACAGTGACAGAAGTCTGTGGAACATAGGCTCTTCTTGGTCTTTTCCGTCTGATTGCCCTGCTACTCTAGTCTGTAGGTGGGTCACCAGCGTGGGTGGGTGCGCACACGCGCAAACACATCTGGCTCTCTCCCTCTCAGATAGTTAAATTTTCAAATTTCGGTCTTTGATGGCATTGAGGCCAGTTTTGAGTGAGCCCTCTCTGGTCACTGTATGTGATTCGGAGCACTAAACGATCCCTACTATTATATTACTTAGGATAGGGCCCGAGGAGGTGCTCAAACCAGACACTAAATGGTCAAGGTTACTCTGTGGAAAATGTATAAAACTATCTCACACTTTTCACCTAGCTCCTCTACATTCACGTGTAACATTTTAAATACATTGAATGTCTCTCCTTTGCTTGCCCATCCTTGTTCTATCCTCTCTGGTTGTTCAGTGCGGTGATCGATTCCTTATGGCAGCCACAAGGAAATCAGATTCGCTGTTGCTCTGTGACTGCGGATGATTGCATCCGTATTATTCTCATGTTTTGCAGTGTTTCCTCTTCACCTCTTTAAAATCGTATAGGTGCCTAATATAGAGTATATTATTATAGTATGGTTTGGGGCTTTGGTTTTCATTTTGACAGTTGGGATCGCTGGGTATCTGAGGACATGATACTGGACATTACGAAGGAGAACAAGTTAATTCAGAAGGAGCTCAATGAAGAAGCAAAAAGGTATGATTGATCTATGCTCTGTTTCGTGTGTGTGTTTCAAGTCAGAGTATTCATTGTGTTCTTTCGAGTATCCTTGAGTCTGCATTGTTTTTGACTTAGGTAAACAAAACAGCGTGTAAATATAATAGAGACTGAACCCCTTGATATCCACTTTCACAGCATCCCGCCTTTTTCAGAACGCACGATGCATGTCGTACAAAGCATGTGCTGGGCGCCGACCTTCATCGCGAGTTTGTGTTTTGGCCGCTTTCGAAACAAATTTTTAAACATTTTCTCCCGTTGCTGTAGCTTTTCACCGTACTCGTAGTGCAAGTTGAGTGAAACCCTGCCGAATGTATGACCACAGACTCGTACAATGTAGTGCATGCCTTGACAGTATGGCTCATGATCTCCAGAAAAGTCGACGACGACAAAAACGATTGCCGTGGGCCAAACCAAGTTGAGTTGCACACTCTTGTTTATGTACTCTTGTTACATGTATATCCTTGCATCGAGCTCAATGTTGTCAACCCTGTCACGTTCTCAATTGTCATTCTGGCTACTCTATATTATGTTCATAATGCTGTTTTGTTTGCTTTGGAGCACCACCCTTGATCCATGTATCGTTATTATCTCTGCTCTGTGTGCCCCCGGCATTTGTAGGAAATCACGCAAGCGCTCTTCAAATCACTTTGATGATCATGGGTCGGTAAAGAAGCGGTACCGCACGTCTTGTGGTGGCTCACAGGGAGTGCAGCAGCGCAGTGGTGATGACAGTGATAGCTGTAGTGATTGTACTGGGTCTAGTTCTAGTAGTAGTGATGATGATGATGACGATAGTGATGACGCCAGCGATGAAGATGGCAGCGGCAGTAGTACTGATAGGTCCAGCACTTCATCCAGCAGCAGTGATGATGATGATGATGATGGGCGGCATCACAGTCGCCGGAGACACCGGCAACACTTACTACACCGACAGCACCGACGTAAGCTCGAGAAGCTACAGCAGAAGCGGAGGCGAGGGCCGGGCCGCTCGCCCAACGTGTTGGCAAATTCGGACGATGATTTCGTTCCTGATCGTCGCCTTCATCAGCATGGTGGGAAGAAGCGCCGCTATATGTGTTCCAACAACTTCGATGCAGAGCAACCTGATAAGGTTGCTAGCACCAATACTGATGTAAGTGATTTCTTCAGAATGCAGCTAGCTATGCTTGCAGCCTGCAGTGAAGGACCATCCGTGTTGCATAGGGTCGTGCTTCGTTGAGTTGCACGCAAATCGCAGGCTGTGCAACCGTGCTCCACTTTGAATTGCTGCCAATGGTCAGGCAATACTGCCTGTACACTGTTGCAGTGTGTAGGCTGTGTGGAAGTCTCCCCTCCTGCTCACCTGCACGCTTCTAGTTGTGAAAGAATCTCCCAGCTTGGAAGTAACCAGTGACCGTGTATAACGGCGCCTGTATTTTCCTCGATTCCTTGCCATCTGTGAGGAAACTGGAGAATGAACTCTACCTCGATGTTTGGCCTATGAAGAAATTTTGAATGCGAAAATGAGATTTGCTGTCTTCTTGTACACGCAAAAACTGTTGTCTTGCAGCAGCTGACAACATTGTGGATAGACCGCTCTGTGAGTGATATGTACTGAGGGAGAGAGCGTGACATACTGCGATTGAAGAGTATGACTTCATTGCCGTAGTGTCACCAGCCTGTAGTGTACTGGTGAACACCGTTGCTGAACAAGAATTGATACTTTCTTTTCAGAGCCAAGAATACTGCTCCTTTTGGCGACTCTCTCGGGCTCTATGTTTTGGGTACCTACCCTGTTTCGCGTGCTTTTGATGTGTTCTGTGCTTTCTTCTCTGTGTGCTGATTCTTACTGAGATACTTACACATGCTGGCATGTTGTTGCGCAATGTGTGCACTGTTCTACTTGTGTGCAGGAGTGTAATGAAGTGCCCCTTGACATCACCCCTGGCTTACGCGACATGCTGGAGGATGACTGTATGAATGTGGTGCACTTCGGCAATGTGAGTCCACCGCCACTGTGTTCCTGTGTATTGGTACACGAAATACATAGAGGGTAATATTCTGTTCAGGCTCACGTTTGTTTACATTTAGCAGGTAACTGGTGAATAAACATGAAGCTCAGAGTTGCAACAGATGTTCTCCTCTTTGTCCTGTGTGACTTAGCTGGGCCTTTAGGTGCTCTCTCTCTCTCTTTCTCTCTCTCTCTCTCTCACACACACACACACACACACACACACACACACACACACACACACACACACACACACACACACACAATTTCTTTTCTCGTTTCTTCTGTGAATATGGCGATACTTCTCAAGTTCCTACTACCTGCAGGCGTGCACTCTTTAAAACTCTTGCTAGGCTGTAGTGTGAAGTGGACTAATGCTATCTCTCTCTACGTGTCTTGCCTGTACAGTCGACTTCGCTAATAATGACTGCGGATATAACTACAATTCGCGAATAACGACATAATTTTCATGCCCAGAGCAAAGTTCCATCCAACTGTGACACATATAATGAGACTTCGGGTATAACGACACTTTTCTGATGCCCCGCCGAGTGTCGTTATAAGCGAAGTTGACTGTATGTTCCATGCATTTCCTCTACTGAGATACTAGTATGGGTGTGCTGTTGGTGTTGATTCAGGTTCATCGACTTCCTGCAACTCCCTCCGTATCCGGTGTGCTAGATCAGTGGCTAGATCATGTTTCGGCTCAGGAAGTGCCCAACCATGTGTCGAGTACATCAGTACCAACGCGGAATCAGAGTGCTGCAGGTGTGACACTGCGTACGGTCACACCGCACAAGAACAGCAAGATCAAGCTCAAGTCGTCAGCACCGCCCGTGGTTGTGGAGTAAGTTGTGCTGAAGAACGAGTAGGTTATGGCTGAATTTTTTGCAGACTCACTCCTATGTGCCATACACATGATGGGTATTTTAAAATTGAGCTTGATCCGCTGTTTTGTTCCTTTTGTCTCGTCTTTGTTCCCTCTTTTTGTCCTTCTAGACCTTCATCCCAGCTGTCTCTGTGTCGTGAAGTGGTGGGAAGTGTGAAGACATTATTTGACTTCATGCTATCATCACAGCTCCTCTTCGACAAGGAGCAAGTGCAGTACTGCAGTCAGGTGCGGCGGAAAATGCCAACAACATCAGCAGCACCTTCTCAGAACGCTCAACCAATTCGAATCAAGGTTGAGGATGACTCTGCTAGCCGTGATGCTGTAGCTGCTGATAGCTGTGGTGCCACTGCTGCGACTCTTGCCGAGGCATCATCGACGATGAACAGTCAGCCAAGCGGCCACAGCTGTGGCAGACAGCATATCGCTGATCCATATGATGCTCCGACCAGTGGTACCAACTCTGTGCGGAGTAACATGTCCTACTTGAGCCGTGCTTCTGTCACTGAGCATTCCTACAGTAGGCCACCGGAATATTTAGTACTGTCAGAGGCTGCACGTGTCATACGGGAGACTGGCCTAATGGATAATAGAGGTTGCACTTCCACCGGTGATGTGCAGAAACCGCGCAGTCGACTTACCAACGGTAGTGCCAACGGCAGTGCTAGTGCTGGTGGTGCTAGTACAAGTACTGGCTGTGGTGCTGCCGACACAAGTAGTACAGTCACAGGCACATCACCTGCCAATCATGCAAAGCCAGTAGTTAACAACGAGGCTGCTGAGCCGCGGCGGACGCGCTCGAAATCGTTATCATTAACCGCCAGAGCTGCCGACACAGCATGTGATTCTGGAACACCTCTGAGTCAGCCGGGCACTGCTGGCACTGGCATCACCGTTGCAACTCAACCTCTAGCCCTAGCAGTCGCTCCTGCTAGACACCATCAACAGGCAGCCAATGCTTGTCATGCAGCTAGTACTAATCACACAGCTTGGTTTACTAATCAAACCGTGCGTACTAATCACACGGCAAGTACTAACCAAGCTGCGAGTAGTGAACGTACAACAACTACTAATCAAGTAGTATGCAGCGATGACAGTAGTATGCAGTTTGGTCCTCAAACCACGGTTACGCTCCGCCTCACAGATTCCATCTCAAAGCATGCCGTCAACTTCACCCTGCGACCGGCTGATGTGTACGGAGTGCCTCACTTACTGCGTCTTTTCGGTAAGCTTGCCATACTGTGGATGATTTGCTTTTTAGTAACGTGTGACACTGCGTGGTGTGCATCGTAAGGGGGATGAGACCATGGGCTGGCGAATCTTACTTCACCATCGCCCGGTATGCACGTCCAGAAAGAGTGCTGTCAGAGTCTCGCTTCGTGCAACCTTCAATGTACCATCATCCTTTCAGACCTTGCGAAAAGTTGCTTTTCTCCATGTCATAGCTTTACTGGTTGAAAGGTGAGTCTGAGCTTTGTAGTTCTGAAGCTGCCACCCAACCCCATTCTATATAAAGCGTTAGCTAATGAAATCCAATCTCACGGTTATACGGCAGAGTGGTATACATGGGACAGGCTAGTGAGTGTAGTGCTAGCTAGCACTGTGCAGCTTCCTGTGTTGTTCTATTTCTGAGGTCGGATTCCGCCCAGTGCCAGGCACAGCGGCATATTTGTACGTGTTTCGATTGCCACCTTGTAGTAAACATACAGTGAACATTGAATTACAATGTAAGAAGAATTGGCGAGATGGATGAGATTGAACAGCTTTCTCAGAGACGAAAAGCTAATCTCGGCAAGAAAAAAATGGAAATTTTAACTCTTCACCCCATCACCATTCTCTTCGAATGAATTACTTGAAGTAGAACCAACTAGAGTTACTAGACCCAATGAAAAATATGGAAGAGTAACCAAGAGTAACCATTACAACTACAGTCTGTATCGGCTATAGCGTAGTACCCTTTTGATTTCCGTGATTTTATCACTATAACCGATGCATCACTAAATGCGATACGATCAATTTTTTCTTTTCTTTTTCGATCGACGCATGAAAGGCAAGGAAATACTTCCGGCATGGCGTTTTGACAAATGAGCATGCTGCATAGTTGACAGTGCCTGCATTTCCATAAAAAAATTCACACACATGTGCATGTATCACTATAAAAATAAGCAAGGTGAAGAAAGTAAAAAAATTGGGCCTTTGATATTATTGCTACATGTGTTTTAAAGTTATCACTATAGCCGATAATAAGGGGCCGTCCGTAAATATCGAACTTTTTTCACCAAACGAATTATTTTAGTTTAGACCCAACCCCTCCCTCCCTCCCTCTCAGAACGTAAAAAATGTTGACATACATGCATATACAACGGCCATGTACATGAATCAATGTTTTCTGAAACGAAATTGATCAGCCCCCTCCCACCCCATAACGAAATGATTTCGTTTTGTGAAAAAGTTCGATATTTATGGACGACCCCTTTAAATAATAATTATAGTGTGTTACGCATGTTTTGATTCTTTGTTGCCATCATAATATCCGATATATCATTACATCCAATAATATTGGTTATAGCAAGGGTACATAACCCAAGAGTGTGCAACTGCCTGCACAACCTCTATGCTGTGCTGCGACGGCAGAACTTCACATCACGTGACATGGTTCAAAAGGTTATGCTGGCAAACAGTGCAAAGTGACCACAAGAGAGTTGTACCCAAAGCTGGGCTGCGTACAACCCAGTATCTATCATGCACTAGAGTGCACGGGTTCATCACGTGATGTGAAGTTCTGCCGTCGCAGACCCCATAGCTGGAGTTGCACACTCTTGTTTATCTACTCTTGGTTTAATATAGTGATATTTTTACTGGATAAAATATGTTTTGCTTTTGATATTTCATACCAATATCACTGTAGCCGATATATTCTTATATCCGGTCACTCTATAGCCGATACAGACTGTACTTCGAAGTAGAATGATATAATTTAGTGAAGAATGCAAGAGGGGAGAGAACCAAGAGGAAACAGAAAGAGACGGTGTGAATTGAGACAAGACTACCAAGATAGCATGCTATTTAGGAGGAAGCAATATTCGAGATCGCTTGAGTACTTGCTCTGTTTCTCAGACAAGGAATATTAGCACTCAATCCACTCATACGCTTGGTATGAACGCTAACAAGCTGCTTCTCGTAGCTAGAGACGTTTCCTCTCTACTTGTTATGTGTGTGGCTGGTTAGTGTTTACACTGCCACGAGTAGTACAGTGTAAGTTTGTTTTTGATTTGTAATTGTTTGTGTGTGTGTGCATACCTTTGTGTTGGTTTCTGCTGCAGTCATCTTGCCTAGTGTACTGGCCCGTATGTCGTTCAGTGATAGTCACCTTCAGGTGCTGTATGAACACCTGTACATGATCCTAGCGTAAGTCAACACTGCTAAAACTCCACGTCTCACTCACTGCTACCTCACTCTTCGTTTTCACGGGTTTTCACGGGTTGTTTTTAAAACCTATATCTTTGCGTGCCCTTCTTTGAAGTACGGTATGTGCACTTTCTTGCAACCTGCCCTACTGATCTGGTTTGCTTACTTTCACGCAGCGTATCTTAAGGGGCTGAGTGTACTACCGTCTTGGACATTGAAATCTGATGGGATGACCGGGGCGGCGCCCTTACTGCTTTTAGCGCGTACATGCACTGTAGTTCACGTACACACTATATGAATGGAACAGCAGTGCTCACAGCTGCAAAGCCAACAGCCCGTGGCCGCTTGATTTCTCAACGGATTTGAATGTGCGCTACAGTATGTTGTAGTACAGTAGAACAAAGCGGCTCTTTTCTGCTGCTAGGCAGTATTGTCAGTTTGGGCTTTTAGCTACTTCCCTTGAACGTTTCCCACATCTGCATTGTTGCTGTACAGTGCATGTGTTTTTAAACAAAATGTGTACCGTGCAATGGACACTGTCCATCTACCGTCTGCAGATATCCATGTCTCCAGTGTTCCTGTTCGCGCAGCATATAAACATTATTGATGTGGGTGTGTTATCTGTATGTTGTCATTGGATTGCTGCAGGTTTCTCAATGAACGACGTCAACAGTATTCCGCCGCTATCCAATATTCCAAAATGCCACTGACCTAGAGGCCTTTGCGGTGCCATTTTCATTCCCGTGCTTATCCTGTTGTTGTTGCTGCAGCTGCTGCTGTTGTTGCTGCCATTGTTGCTGTTGTTGCTGCTATTGATGCTGTTGATGTTGCTGATGTTGCTGTTGTTGCTATTGTTGCTATCGTCGTCATTGCAGACACATTTGACGTCCACCGTGCATCTAGAATTCAGCTCCATGGTGGCAAGTCATTTGTCTTGTGGGTTTATTTGTTTTTGTCCATGTCTATTATGTTAGGCTACCTGGCGTTGCTGTGCTGCTTGATTTCGCTTTGCTATTTCTGCTTGGGTGGCTATCCGTTGTCTGCGCTGATTGACCTCTCTTGCTCTCCCGACATATACCTCTCTCATCTTTATCGCGTACTCTTAAGGACTGGATCGACTTTGAAATCCCCCCTTTTGTCGACTGTTGTCTGGTGTGTTGGTAGTGAGGCTCGGCAGCAAGCTGTCCCCGTGGAAAAATGCAATCCCGCAGCCGCGGCAATTTCCGCAGAGATCGCTCTCATCGTACCATTGCCCGCGGAATCTGCGTTTTGCCAATGATTGGGGAAATTACTAGGGGTGAAACGAGTATGAAACGAGCAAGTGCTCGTTCCGCAAAATACTCAAAGTATCCTATGTACAGTGTATTGTATGCATGTACATCAAGCATTTCTGTTACTCTGACTGGTACTATTCCATGCAAGCACGAAATTATTGCTTGTCCCTACGTACCAGCAAAAGACAGTAGTTCAGACTATTTCCTGCACAAGGTTGCATGCAAGACTACATGTGTATCGGGTGTCCTACGTTCAGTGTTGCGAGAGTGTATGCAGTGCATTGTTTTATGCTGTTAGTTAAATACTCGTACTCGCTCGTTTTTTCAAAGAGTACTCGTCCCCAATTTTAGCACTCGTTTCACTGCTAGAAATGACTACACCGAAAGCAGCCGAAAAGCTACTTTTAGAGCACATTATTCTTTCACATCCACAGCAAGAGTCTTTACACTTGGTGCAACTTGGGTAATGAAGCGTTCGAATTTCAAATACTTGTACCGTTATCTACATAACTACACATGCTACCTCACTGACGTGCATGGCCTAATCGATGCCACACCTCAACACGCAAACACGCTATGGTCATATCCCTGCACACAATAATCATTGTGTGCAGATAGATAAGCCAACAGACAACGCCAGGGAAACAATTAGAAGAGTACTTTCGTGAACATCACAGGGCGTGGTAAGCCCAAAACAGAATATAGCACAATGATCAGCAGTGGTAGCAGAGCACAACACACAGTACAATCATGTACAATAGACAGATAGCAGACACCATAGCATTCGTAATAATAATAAAAAAAACGCCAGATCAGAATGCACGTGCACACGTTGACGAAATCAGTGGAGGGCCTATCGGGCGTACGATACGCTTGGTATAAAGTTGTTTAAAAAGAAACCCGGACATAATAAGCAAATACTGTAATGTAGATGGTATGCGAAAAGAGCACCAGCAGATGAATCTTTTTTACAAACGGTTAAAAAAAGCAAGCACAACCAGCATAAAATAGACCTCTAGCTCTAGACAAACTATACAGATGGATGGGACAGATGTACATGTCCCCCGAAAGTAAAGTAAAAGGCATTAGTAAAAGGCATTTACACAGGTAAAATTCATCCCAAAATTAACTGGGTGGAAGATGAATACATCAGTAGGCATCATCATTTTCATATGCTTGGTCGGAACGCACCAAGGCACGGCGGCATAAGGTACTAAAATGGCATCTAGTGCATGTACTGGCACTACTGATGTGTTTGAACACACACGCACGCACGCACGCACACACACACACACACCACAATCACAATTACACACACACACACACACCTGCAGTGTGGTCTACGATCATCACAATCACAATTACACACATTCACGATCATCACCGTCAAGATCTGCATCAGCCACCTAACCAGCTGGGCCTAAAGGGAGAGGAGGAGTAAGGAATGGTATGAGCAGCATGAGACTAGACAGAAAGCAAGTTTCACCCAGGAAGCTCATCAGCACACCAGCAGCAGCAGCAGCACAAAAGAGGAATCTCTACAGCCTATAAGAAGAAGAAGCACAGCACAGCACAGCAGAGAGCAGTAGCGACAGAGGCGCCAACACAACCTAGGACATAACTCAGCAGGGTGGGATAAAATAACTGGACGAAAGCAATCAGGTAAAAACAGACAAAGAGACAGATATTGAGCAAAGCAAGCCCAGAGGGAAAGGAGGACTGTTACATGAAACTCACTATTCAGTGACATGATCTGGAGGCAGACCTTGCTCTTTCCGCCGCCATAACTTGAAGAAGAGACCTTCCAGATCATGCGTGTATTGCTTTGTGTTGAAGAGAGGAGATGCCTGCCGGGCCGTTCGCACTTTTGCTCGCACATTTTGAAGCCTGAAGACAACATAGAAAATAGGCAGCATTTAATAATAATACATGCATATAGAAAGGTACATACTGTTTGAGGATAGAGGTTTTGGACCGGATCATTGTCGAATATACCTTCGACTGCCATGGACATGCATATAGCTCAATGAAAAATCAAATGAGGGTCATGCATCAATCAACAACGTCGAGCCAGTGCGTTCGGTCTAAAAAGCAAGTTGCTCCATTTAGGGCATGCACAATGACGCAGCCGGAAAGTGCTACAATACACGGTACATGTACATTGTCACGTTCCCTATTTGTTCGATTATCATACAGGACACAATTACTGTAAACCGTGAAATTATTGCGATGGTCTAATTTCTGCGAAATTCGCGACCGCGTGGAAATCGCGAAATTTAGACAGCGCGAAAAGGAGATCCATGAAAGGTTTAGCAAGAATGCCACAGGTTTAGCGAGAATGCCATTCTGCAATCGCAAAATTAAAACCTCGCAAACCTGTCCAGATTCTGAAAACGCGAACTAAAAACGCCGCGAAAATTTCACGTTTTACAGTACCTGGAGTTTCCCAAGTTCCACCACAGCACTTGCAATCAGCAATAGACACACACTTATGCAGAGGTGGAAACGAGTAATCCAGAGTTGCCCTAAAAGTTGTGTGTGTGTGTGTGAAATGCAACTATGTAATGCTCAAAATTCGAAAGTAATAGGTTTGCATGACCCTTGCACAACACATGCACTCCAGCGGTGGTAAGTCTAATTGTGAATGAAGCAGAGTCACTTCAGTTTTGGAGTGGTATTACATCCCATACATAGTGTTAATAACAGATTGTGTTTGCTTTGGGGTTATATATTTTCCTTTCTTGTGTTCTGGGTTTGCATTGTTATTGCACTTCCATCCATTGTGTGTGTTTTGCCCCTAAAAGAATCGCTACAGCTTCACTGCATACTGTGCATAGTCGAGTTTGTGGTGCTAGCACCATGAGAGCCCTGGGCTCGGTTATTCAGGAGGCAGAGTTTCACTTGCCACCACCAATGACAATGTGCACGGTAGAACTTACTCAGTGGGATTGTTGCCCAGTTGAATAGCAATGTCTTCATACTGTTCTGCAGTATCAGCAACAAGCTCTGGGAAACCAAGCGTGAACAGCTGCGATGAAGCCACCCTCGACGCCAGAGTTTCGGCGCGCAGCGTCACCATCGGGGTGCCGGCCCACAGTACATCCATACCCGTGGTGTGGCCATTGCACAGTGGCGTATCCAGACACACATCAGCCAGCCGGCCACGACGTACATGCTCCTCTTTCGGCGCAACGGGAGAGAAAATGATTTGGTCACTGGCTACGCCCAGACCAGTTAGAGCGGCAGTCACATTGGTCTCTCCATGAGCCGGGAATCGCAGTAACCACAGCACAGAGTTCGGAACTGCCTTCAAGATATTCGCCCACATGCGCAGTGTAGCCGGGTTGATCTTGTACAGCTGATTGAAGTTGCAGTAGACAATCTTGCCAGCTGGCAGGTTGTATTGACTGCGTACAGTCAACGGCAGGCAGGACGGAGGAAGCTCACCGTTTGCTACCCGCGCACTCAGCGACAGCACCTGTTGCTGTGCAACACTTGTGACTACTACGCCATTGGGAGCAGCAATGATGGTGTTGATGGTAGCAGGTCTTGCAGACTGTACATCATTGTGACCATTAGCTGGTAGCATATCACCTGTTACCAAGATGTTTGCCTTTGCAAGACCATTAGTATGTCCCGTCGTGTTTGCTGCAAGGCCAATGGCTGATGTAACAGCTGTAGATACTGTTGCTGCTGCTGCCGTTGCTGGTGGTGGTGGCCGTTTACTGATAGGATCAATGTACAGTGGCTGAATGTTGGTGAGGTCTACTCCTTGCACACCGTCACCTTCTGCCAACAGATGTGGGAACATCTGAGCATGGTCTCCAATAAAGAATGTGTGAGGCATGAAGGCCAGCTTCTCTGAGTACAGGTGAGCAAGCTCCAAAGGTGACGTGTAACCATCTGTAACGATGTAGTCCATGAACGATGCTCCGCTGCTACCGGGATAGCCAAGCCACATCACCTACAACAATATATGCACAAGCACACACACATTTACATTCACATACACACACACGCACACACCGTAGACGCCCATTGCAGGAGGCAGAGATGGGGATACTACAGCAGAAACCATAGCAACTTGCGCTGGGATTGCACTATTAAACAGCTTGCAAGAATTTAACGCCATTACTCAGCCTGGTCTAAGTCACACACTTGTTTTGAAGCGCTTTTTACTAGGGGTGAAACGATTAGTTCGAATATTCGAGTAATCGTTTGAAATTTTGAAACGAGCGAGTATTCGAAATTTTGCACTCGATCGTTTTTTTTTTTTTACTTCCTCCGCTAAGCAAAACTTCGTTGCGTTTTTAGTGTTCTTGTCATGATATTTCTGTCGGCATTAGACATACATGTCAGTGATCTATCCCCTACATAGGGTAGCTGAGTTGTCGTCAATTGTTCTGACAGCCTTTTGAACCTCCGAAAAGCGTGGAGTCCTTCGAAAAAATCGGCGAAGCAGAACCGTTTCTCGACAGGATGTCACCAGAACACAACCCCAGGCAAGCGCACATGACACCAAAGTGCGAAAATGAGAAACAGTTTGAAAGACCGGGTGGCTCGAAGAAGTGTCCAGGAGCCGGCCAGCGCTCAGGCACTGCTGTACTAGCACGAGTCGATGGTGCGCATCCGCACACATCCAAAATCAATGCACTTGTGTTAGTGGTCAATTAGCAACCATTCAAATTGCAGTGCGTGGAATACAGACACACACACAACACAATGTACACGGCTGTATCATCAAGCAGGTCCAACAGACTAGAAACTACAGTGGTGACGAGAGAAATCCTACCTCGTGAATAGCAGGTGCAGGGCTGCACCGTCCTAGCACCACAAACACCGCTATGCCTTATTCACAAAGTCAGATTTCATTTACCACCAGTGCACAGTGTGCATCGGAATAGGACAGCACCAGTGGTCAGCCGCACTACTTACTACACTACTCACAACTCACCTGGACAGGTGCCGGCCGCAACGCAAAGATTTCATTGCGAGCACCTTTGGTGTAGCCATTCATATTGACCAGGATATGGATATTGTCACGGTTGATGAGATCAGCGGCCTTGCCATTGCACGGTGTCTGTGCAGTCATAGAAACAGAATCAAAAATATCAATCTACCGGTATCTTGACTTTGTGCCATCCTACAGTCCATTCGAACGGAATAGTCATGTTTCCTTGGAAACCTGATTTTCGGACAAATTAAGGCCACTGCTCCTACAACAATCGAGCATGGAGAATTTTCATCGACTGGAACTAGCACACTAGACAGTAGTAGGTCTTCCACAGTGTACGTCCTAAGTGGTTGTGACTGTACTAAACATCAATGTAGCTCAGTGCGCTGTAAGATGAGGATGACCTGGTACCTACTTGAGAAAGATCGACGAAATTGTGTGCTTCATGCATTATCTTCCGCCGGAACATCGTGTTGTCATCGGCTGACAAGGCATAGCAGAAGACCTATAAGCACACACACACACACAAACACAAGCACACGGCAGAATACAGTGAAACTTCAGTACAAGGTGCCTTGGATATAACATATTATGGGAGATAAAGGAATACCCTTAAGCACCCATCATTATGCTTGTACTGCACAGTCAGGTTACGTTTGGTTGGTCACATTCCCAAATGGGAATCACTTGGAATCACTCGGAATCATTCTCGCCCGTTTGGTTGGTCAAAAAAGTGCGTTACGTTGGTCACATTCCACATGATTCCAGAATGGGAATCGCTGAGAATGATTCTTTTTGGAGAATGATCATTCCACCTCACATGCCGGAATGAGCATTCTCATTCCGGAATCAAAAATGATAATTAGCAACAGGTTCAAGTGCCTCAAATCATGCACTCAGAAGTACCTTGACTCTCTCAAGGAAACTAGAGTCGGGTAAAAGAAAATACAGCCGCCGTTCCACAACGACATCATGGAATTGTTATGTCAAGTGATTCCTAATTGATTCTGGCGCATTAGTTTGGTCAGGTGATTCTTGCCGATTCCCATTCCAGAATGGTTCTCATTTACATTCTGAAAATGCCCAACCAAACGCAACCTCAGTTGACCTGGAAACCTCCAAAGACAAAGCGAAGGATGGCGTGTGTGTGTGAGCACTGTGTTTCGAAAATGATTACTGAATGTACATGCAGAATGGTCAGGTACTACTGGCTACTGAAAATCCAAATTATTTTAAATAAATGCAGAAAGGGTGAATGGGGGCTGAAAGATACAACTTTTCGTTTTGAGAAGAAAAAAAACACGCCAAGGCCACTCGACCTCAATGACCTGAGCTATCTCTGTCTCCGTCACTCTATGTCTATCGTTAGCACTCAGGCAAGAGGTTATTCAAATCAAAGTCGCAAAATTTAATTTGCATGTGCCCATCAGCCCTGGTTGCACTTGCCCCAACTGTGGAAAAGAGAGAGAGAGAGAGAACATAAGGTGTCCAGGTACTGGTACTTATGTAAAGGGCTGCCTTTACATAAGTACTGCTAACAGCAATCTACACTGTCTTGTACATTCCAAAATTAAATACTAACCTCGACCTTGTCTGTGTGGAAGCCAGGTACACTCTGCATAAGATGAGATGTCGGGTGATTGCCAAAATCAGATGACACATACCCAATGCGCAGTCGCCCGCCCGTAGCTGACAGGTCTGTCGGGTAACTGAACGGCCTCTTATGGAGCAAGGCAACCTGAACAAGAACAGACAATGGAAAACTTCACTCAGATGATGTGCTGTAAAAGCTGAATCTCTAACGGGGCACAAAGTTGAGCAATCTAACGAGAACAAATCCATCGTTAACTCAAGAAACGTTACACGTAATTCCTTCTCTCCTCTGTACTAGAGAAATAGAGGACCGGTGTGGCGGCAGGGTTGTTAAACTTCGTGCCCGCTAAGTTTGAAATTTTGGCAAATCGTTAAACTTCAGACTCATCACACTTTCACTCACACAGTATAAGACAATATCCCAAGTGCAGGCGGACCAAACAAGCAAATCCCGTGCTATTATAAAGTCATCCAGTACAATTACTTACTCGGTCGATGCACAGATTGCCGTGTCGGGCAGCAATTGCTTTCCGTTGCTCGTGCGTCAGAGGATACAGCATACTGTGGTGCGGATGTACAGACGGTAGCCTGTTCTTCTCCAGCTGGTCGGCAACGATGTGACAGAGCTTGTGCATGCGCGTATCATAGTCACTGTAGTCACAGATAATCTGAACCACACCGAGAACAGAGCAACAGGCAACCTAGTGAGTACTTACAAACACCCACACCGCGACAAATTGCACATCGCTTTCAGATAGTGGGCACACAGGACACGAGGTACAAGTTGCAGCGCCATTTCATGAATATAGAGAGTACACATGCCCAAGAGTATGCAACTACAGCATGCAGTGCTGTTCAACAGATGTTCAAGTTGGAATCATTTTTTATGATGCAATGCTTCTCGCTCGAGTGATTCACAACGTTGGTACTGGGGGGGGAACATATTGCACGGGTTTCCGTGAACTAGTTTTGTACAGGATCAAATAGGGGTTGTCCACCACAGGCAGCACTGCAGCATGACGTTACAGAACAACAGCCAGGAGTGAAAGAGGCAGAGAGTCAAGACAATAGAGCGACAGCAACATTTGTCTTCATCACCTACCTGCAAACAGTGCACAAGGTTACAATAAGCATCGGGGAAGTCAGACTTTAGCTTCAGCGCCATGCGATAATTGGTAATAGCTTCTGGTATATTGCCCGAGTCCTTGTCGATGGACGCGAGGTTACTGTGTGCATCGGCAAACGCTGGATTGATTTGAATAGCTCGCGTGTAGCACTCAATGGCACCCTGGATGTCTTGCATTTCCTTCAACGTATTACCCATGTTGCTATATGCGTCAGCAAAGTTTGGGGCAATCCTGAGCACACAGACACACACAGAACAGCAGAGAATTGGCCTTTTACTAGTCCAAATCCAGCCTAAGGGCCTGGTCAGACTGAGGCAAAATCGAAATAATCCTGTGATTATAATCTGAATCTCCATAGTAACTTGCCGCCAGAGCGGCAAAAGCGAGAGTTGACGCTCCAAAAAAAAAAGAAGCAAGAACGGACCACGCTTTTCCACTCCAAACAGGAGTTTGACGCTGATATTCACTGATTTTTTCATCTCGATATCGCGGAGCTAATTGGCCACGGACAACAACAAAACTCATAAGGATGGTTTCAAGGATTGCACTGAAGGTGTTGGCGATCCAAAGGTGAAGGAATTTGACGTCGTTCGTGGAGACTACCACCTGACGCTCGAAATGAAGTTTGAATTTTCATTCTCCCCACATGTGTAGTGTGATCGTGATTCAGCATTCTAATTCTGGACGCTGTTCTTTTTTCGTCAGGCAACCAAAATTTGCCGCAGTCTGACCAGGCCCTTAGTCACACGCACTGCTGACTCACACCCGACTACAAACTCTCTTCTAAAAACTACTTCAAGACTTGAATCTCCAACGAGGCACAGAGTTTTTAAAACGAGGAAAAATCCACCGTTACCCAGCACTATTCCTTCTCTACTCTATACTAGAGAAAAGGAAGACGGCAGTCTGATGGCCGGAGTACAGGAGTTAACACATTGTGCATGTGAAAGTGGAATTTTTGCAAATCGATAATCGTTGAGCACTGGCAATACTCCGGTTCAAGGAAGTGCCCGCAACTCTCTAACAGTACACAGTCTATACAGTAGTGATACATTCCAATTGCAATGACAGAAACAATCACAGTACACACGCTGAACTACATTGCCGGCCAGTGAAACCTGACTACTTGGCGCCCGGTAGCTGTGCTGCGTGTCGCAAGGGGGACATGTGAACCGAGCTGTGCTGCAGAGCGTTGTGGGCTGCAATCCAGCTCAGTCCACACGTCCTCCCCTGGCACCCGTGGAACAGCTCTCAGTCTAGTTGTCAAATTTCAACTAGCCAGCGTTGTCCCTGCACTCACAAACTAGCTAACAGGAGAAAAAATATACAAACAACTTTGAACTAGTACACTGAAGCTCACCGTATAGCTTCCTTGTAATGCCCAAGTGCTTCATGAAGGCGACCCTGTTGCTGTAAAATACTGGCCACATTGGAATGAGCGGCTGCAAAGTCGGGGAAAATCTATAGAAAGAAAGGAAGAAGAAGAGAGAATGGACCAGAACAGCATCAGCTGGTCAATGAAAAACACTCCAGAAATCACAAGACCCAGGCTTTTATCAAGGGCATGCACACTTGTTACCTCAACTGTAAGCCATACCTGACTACATCACATGGAATGTCGGCCTTTATCATCATAGATTTCAAAAGTAAAATACAAGTGAACCAAAACTCAATCCCAGAGAAGTCATCACGGTCAGGTCACATATGAAGTCATCAAGGTTGTACTGTGATGCTGGAGTGCACTCCAGAGATAGGTATGCCAGCTAATTCTATACTCGCCAGCCATTTCACTCTGCCTTATTGTACACCTCTGATTTTTCTCGGTTATATAGATTGAGTTGATGAATGTGGGGGTGTATAAGGGTTAACATAGGTTCATTGTACTTAGAAAAAACAAGAGTATAATACAGTCACGCAGCAACGTACTTCCAGCGCCCTTAGGTAGATGCGTGTTGCCTCCTCGATGTGGCCTTGTTCTCGCTTGATATTGGCCAAGTTATTGAGTGAATCAGCATGTGTTGGACACAAGCGGAGTGCATGGTTGTAACAGTCCTCCGCTTCCCCAACCTGTAAAGAGACCATGAGCGGGCACACACATACACACACGACCGTATGCACAGCCACAAACGCACCCAAACGGTATATTCATCATACACTGTCATGTTGAAGTCCACTATAAAAGCAGGATCACAGAGGCAAGTTAACTTTGTCTACAACTAACACTGATAAGATCATACCAACCAAAAGTTAGAGAATGACTCCATACAGAGAGTAGCTTGAAACTTTTACAACGCACAAAGAGTTGGTCAAAAATGCCACACGACTGAAAAATGTGAAGCGAGCCCAAACTAACAACCCACCTTGCCCTGCTCTTTCAGCGCATTAGCCAAGTTACAGAACGCATCAGGAAAGTTTGGCTGTAGCTCAATAGCACGCCGATAGGTGTCCACGGCAAGCTCTGATAAACTGCATAGCACAAAATAACAAGGCTTTGGGATGTTACTGACAATAGTACATCGAAGATAACCATAACTGTGAGACTAGACACAGTACAGGTACATACATGTAAGTGAAACAGATCTGATGTGCCATAGAGATAAAGAGATTGCTCTGAAGACAGGACACCGACGGCATGAAATAAACTCGTGTAAATGGCAGTGACTGATGAAGATCGGGGCCCGGGCCGTGTTCTATTCAGGACGCCAAACTTCACTTGCCACCACTGTACAAAAGATGTTGCCAAGACATCCACTATCAGTGCAGACCATTCGACACTAGAGAGATTCTGCATTCTAAATTTCGGAAGTGTTTTCGACTGGGGTCAATAGTAGGCAGAGCAGAAAGTTTAACGGAAAGAGGCAGTGGTTTTCAGCTTCAAATTCATGTTTGAAATGTTCTACTACACGTAGCAATTGTATCTAAGGATGCCTTTTTAGTCACCCGTAGTAGCCACATACGAGTAAGCAGGAAGAGAGAAGTCGAAAAGAATATTCGAATTTCAGAAAAGCATGTGAACAAAGATTCGGAGCCTCCAAATTCAAGTCGCGACACTTGGAATACATTTCGAAATGCACAAACTTGACTGTTCTCCAGCAAAACGCGTAAAGATGATGTCACATCCCACTGTCTACTAGTGTAGATGTATTGTCAGGCTGAGAGCACTGTAGATCAATGCATCTCAGACTTACCCTTGCTCATAGTAAACACAAGCCAAATTGCCCAGGACGATGGGATGGCTCGGGCTGATGTTAAGTGCACGCAGGTAGGCTTGTACAGCTCTGCAGCACATGTACAGATCAGAAAGGACGCAAACATGCAACAAATGGAAAGATTAAATGACGTCCTGGGGAAAGCAGCATTTAGTTCTGCCTACCTATTTACCTATCCATCCATCTATCTACCTGCCTACCTACCTACTTGCCCACCTATCCATCCATCTATCTGTGAGTATCCATCTACATGTGTCTAGCAGGAAAGACTCCGACCCAGACCATTAGCCCACCATGTCAAAAACAATCAGAGCATGCTTGCTCAATATATCAAAGCCAAAAAAGAATATTGGGTCAACTTGCCGCATGGATGCTGTAATACTCGTACAGATGCACATCATCACAGGGGAAATAAAACTACCAGGGAGAAGTCAAGTGAATATACTAGTGCCAATCGAGAGATAGAGTGAGAAAGAGAAAGAGAGAGGTGCATACCGGTCAAATATTCTAGCTTCCTTCAAAACATTTCCGAGGTTGATGAACGCATCCAAGAAACTTGGATCAAGCTGAGTTGCCTAGGTCAAATACAACAGCAAAACCAACAAAACTGAGTTCCATTTACTGAGTTGATAATTTAATAACAACTGGATTCTGGGAAGCCAGCTGTTGAAAACTTGCAGGATATGATAACAAGTTACACTATAAACGCCATACCGCACTTCCTGGAGAGGCCCATACAAGAGGTAAGATCACGAATTCAACTTCCAAGAAAAACTCACTTTCTCAAAGTGATGAATGGCCAGCCACACTTCGCCCATACAGTTAAACACACAGCCCAAGTTGCTCCACGCCACGGCGAAGCTCGGCTGCGTCTCGATCGCCTTCAAGTAACAAGCCTACAGGAGCATGCAGGGCAACAAGATCATACATAAAGCAGCGTAAGAGCACACCACGGGTAATGGCATCATGATAGCGCTACACTCAAACCCACATGTGACCGCATGTACCCGCACACATCACTTACACGTACCAACATACACGCATAGCAGATACAGGGAGAACTAGAGGACAACATACGCAAGAACATGCACCACAACTAGTGCTAGAAAGGGGAGGCTGAGGAAACTGATTTGGTGCACGTGGTTAAAATAAAAAAGAAAACTAAAAGAAGGAGACAAACACATAACAGGACAAAACAAAAACAAAAAACACCAACACACATGATGTACACATTGCATAATAGAAGATGACCTGGAGAAGCAGCACCAGCAGCATCACACACACCGTCAGCATAAGCAGCAAAATCACTACAATAACCACCACCACGACCGTCATCAGAATTAGAAAAATACCACCACCACCACCACCACTGGCCATCATCAACACCAGCAATCACTAAAACGAAGTAAGAATGAAAATGATGACATGCTGCCTTGACAGCCATGACATGCAACTGATAGTAAGTGAAGTCAAAGCAGTGGCGACAGTGGCAAATTGCAGTCCAAGTCGTGAACAGAACAGTGGGTGGAAAGGTTGAATGAAGGCAGTATGATGGATTGTCATATACAAGATAATGACCAAAGACAAGAAAGACAGATCTCAAGGACTATTTCCATGCAGAACAGAAGAAACATCAAGGACCACGAAAATGATACAATAAAAAACCGAATTAAGGCAAAGGTTACATCAGACTTCAGCCTCCCCTTTCAACCTGGTGACTTGAAAGAAATGAGGTGAGACGACAAAGTTTTACACATGCCCGGTCTAAGTGAATTTGCCAGCATGTCAGAACTGGTAGCTTCCAGAAGCGTTGCCCTTTGCTGGCATCAAACGGCCACGCTCCTACCTCTCTGATCTCCTCCGTACTTCATCTCCGTCCATCTGCTAAGCGCAGGCAAGATTCCACCGGCCAAGCAGAACATGCAGGAGGCGTAGGTCAGGCAACAGCATCCCAAACCTCAAGCATGTGTGCACATACAGTCACTGCCTTTCCGCTCATCAACGCACAAATAATGCCATGCAGGGCGGTGCGGAAGGTCAGTTTAAAGGAAGTAGCAGTATGTGAACAGATCTTGAGCTGTGTTCGTCGGTTGCCGTACCTAGCAGCCACTGCATACAGCATATGCGGTGTGTGACTATGTGCAACCAGGGTCATGCCATGCATCTGGCACCCTTTTTGCACTAGGCACAGACCACTAGGCAGCCAACCTGTTGCCATTTGCTCTTTAGTTTCAGCAATTCTCTCACGATATGGCACCTAGACGCATCCAGCAAGGAAGCAAAAACCAAAACTGGTCAAAGAAATTAAATTACATTGCAATCTGGACTAGTCATGGCAGCTAGCGACTTCGTGAGTGAATTGTAAAACGAAATGCACCTGGCACAAGGTTGGTTTGGCCGGGAGGGAACTGGCGAGATGGCAGCAAAGGGCAAATCTTCTATCTGAAACCAGCGGTTTACCAACTACTCTGCTCTTTGTTTGCTGTGGTTGTTGAATTTAGTTCATTGCCAATATAGGCGAGAGACCTGAGCTTTGTCGCCTTACTCTCATCAACTTCCAAGCACAACCAGTGTGCACAGTGGAAGAAGAGAGACACGGGCACACATGTACAAGTCCAGCATATACAAGTTACCAGCCAGCGACGGAAGATTGGAAAGGCTGAAACGCACTGGCTTGAAGACGTCTCCATCGTGCTCAGCCATGTCGCAATATCCCATGCCCTGAGCATTTTATCTACGACAGGTTTAGTGGGATGAAAAATGAATGGGAACAGTTTGAGTTTCGAGGTAGCAACCGGACAAAAGGTTTTACATACATGCACAACAGAAAGACAGACTCGAGTAGGACTTTCCTGCCACTTCAAACTCCATCTCATGTGAATAAAGGCTGCAGTAAAATACTGGCTTAGGAAAAATGCTTGAACAGCATATGGAATGGCAGAAACATGTAATATACTGACAATTGCCTTTTCACAGTGAGTGAAGATGTAGACGAAGCAGAAATGACCTGACTCGAGAGACAGCCACAGCAAAAATAAGCGCATGCATAGCATGAGTGCAACCCACACACTACATAACGTTCCATGGATACCAACTCAGCTAGAAGTTCGACAGATTGTGGATTTTATCTACCATCACACCAGCTACTGAAAATGCAGTTTGAAACCAGTACAATACAATGCAAGCAACTTCACCACCAGAAAAAGAAATTTAGTTAAGTTAACCCTTTACTGGCCAATCACCAATGCGAACAGCGCTTGCAATATACGCGAGCCATGATTTTGGTTTTTCAATCCAAAAACAAACAAACAATTGGGCCTAAACTCAACTACACCCCCCAATGGATACAACCGGCAGAGGGAAAGACACTCCCCCTCAGTGCTAAGACACTTGTTTCGGAGCACCAAAACACCAAACAGACAAACCAGTAGAGTGTACGGATGCAGCGACTTTGGTATCTAATAGCTGTGGGCATCCCCTTCGATTGAGGGCCTGTTATCATGGAGATTTTTTGCCTAAGACAAGACTTTCTGGTATGAAGTGATGAGTTTACATGAAGAGTTCGTCCCGGGATGAGTCGACTTTCAATCATCACACGCTTACATCTTTCATCCCATGTGGATCCACCCACAGAATTTAGATCAGAGTACAAGTAATCACTTGCAGCCAAATATGAATACTTGTATGCACTTGTATTCTACAACTCATTTCATGCCAGGGTGAGTTTCGACTCGCTCTGAGCATGTAACACATGTTCACCCTGCCTGCATTCAGGCCGAGCTCCATGTCGTGCTGGTTAAAAGTAGCCTGAATGCAGGGAGGGTAAACATAGCTGGTCCTTCCCTAATCATGCCACATATAAATACTTCAAGTACCCTCGGTATTCACCCCCGAGCGGGAGCAATCAACACTTTGAATTATTTTACCTTCGCTTCTTCTAAACGCCCTAAAGCCTTAAACAAGTTGCCAAGGTCACTCCTGACGCAATATAGCTCCTGGAAGAAGCACATAAAAATGGCCATATGGGTCAGCACAGAAATTCACAAACAAGTTTGAGGCAAATGACCAGGTCACCGGACCATCCTGTCGAAGAGCAGCTAGCGCCCGTGCTGCTCCTCTATCATAAGAACATAGACGGAATGTATTGGACATATTCAAATTTGAAAGTTATAGCAACAAATGGGCTGCAACTTGTTCAGTACCTGGACAAGCACGTGGAATGGTGTTGGTGCAATACTCCAATGCTCCCAGTGACAGGAACAGCAGGTAATACAGCAGCATATATATGTACTTAATAATACATTGTGCCCACATGGAAAAGAGTAAACCCCTCAGGGATACAGCTATATGTTGTAGTAACACACAGTGAGCCAGACCGAGAAAGTTAGGTGTCAATTACCATAGCAACTGCATTGGTCTTTATGGCCAGCAATCAGCTGGGCCTGGCACAGTTTACAAGATACAAATATGTAACACATTGAAACGGTAGTAGTGTGCTATTCCTTCTCTCTTCTGTACTACTAGAGAAACAGAAGACGGGTGTGTGATGGCAGCGTCGTTAAACTGTGCACGCCAAATGAGAAATTTTTCCGCAAATCGTAATAAACTTTGGGCTCATCACACGTTTAACTCTTTACAGTACCATTTTTGAAAATGGCTCACACAGTCAGAACACGGAACTAAGACCCTGATAGTACTTCAATTAATTATTTTGATAACAGTACCATGTGAGTACAACTAGTCAAAGAATCAGTGGTGTGGTGAGTGAATGGGAAACTCACTGGGTTGAGTTGCAGCGCTCGAGCATAAGCCTGTACGGCTTGCTCGAGCTCACCAGCCTGCACCAAGGCAGCTGCCAGGTTGATATAGCCATCGATGAAGTCAGGCTTTAGGTTCACCGCATAGCGATAATGGTCCAATGCATCGGTGATCTTTCCTCTCTCCTTGAACACATTGCCCAAATTTGAGTATGCTTCTGCCAGCATTGGGTTTGCCTTGATGGCCAGGCTAGAAAATGTAGCAGACCTGCACATAGAAAAAAGAAAATACAGAAAAAAACTATCATGAAGCTTACTTTGGACAATTGGCTGTGAATTAGACAATACACTTACATTGAAATTAAATCTCAACATAGGACGAAGGTAACACTATTCAAAGAAATAAACTAACTTGTCTAATCGTCGACGCTGAAAATGAATGGAAGAAAGCAACAGTAGGACTCCTGTGTTTCCTGGATCGCGTTTCCATAACTCCAGCGCATGCTGCTCGGCTAACTCATACTCGCCCGACTGATAGTGATGATGAGCCAGCTCGGCGAGTTCCCTGTTGTAAGTCACTGTTGAGAGCGAAATAATTACATGTACAGAAAAATTGACCCAGCAAATCTTTCCAAACAACGCCAAAAAAAGAACCTCCATCAATGCAAGCAACTTACAAGCATCACCTGCCATTACGCATCACTACTAAGCGGGTCGAAACCCCCATCAAAAGGACAGCAACAATAGAAAATAGAGGGAAAGTGACGACCTGGCTTCACGTTCGAAGTCAAAGGAACATAAATTACACAACACAAACGACTCAACGTTCAAGGCAGCAAAAGAAACGGGATCGGTTGCTTGACAAAGGGCAGCCGCGTGCATGCAGGGCAAGCCGGTTCAGCTCGTGATCGCGTTAGCGTAGTGTACGTGTGCGTACCCGGGTGGGTGGGTTCGCGTCTTTTTTGAGCTTTACCTACACGTAGCGCGCTATCGCCGGCACTTCTCGTGGACAAGCATGACCCATGATGGGCGCTAGCACGCATGCGACAACCACTCAGTTTCCATGCCATGGCAACGACTTCGCGAATCTGGCCATGCAGTGTGCACATGGCGCCGAATTTGAAACGAGAAAGCATGCTCGATCGCCCGATCCGAGAAGAAAGAGAGAATGGGAAACAAACACGTATCGTTTTGTCACCATATCGATAAACTACTACTAGTAGTAACCAACTATTTACGTTGTCACTTCAAGACCTCTACTAGGCTCTAGCTCCACTGGTCCACTTTCAGGAAGTAGACCCTCCGTTGCCGGCAATGTACCACTACTGATCAAAGGAAGAAAAAGAGAATGTCAAATTAATGATAATTCTCTACTCGTGTATACGTATTATCTTACAGCACAGTACCGCTGGTTTGGACTTGAAGACGTCACTATCATTGGTGCCTAAATGTAATGCCAGGCCCGGGTACCGGATTCACAGCAAGATAACGAAGACCCGCGAGGGAATTCTCGTATTATCAACTAGTCCACACTGTGGACGGAGACAGGAGCCATAATGGCTGTTTCCAGTGAATTGGAATCTTCCTTTCTGGACACAACCCTTTCCTCAGATGAATACAAGTCAAAAGGAAAAATGAGTACCATCTCTCGTGATGCACTGGAACGCCGCCAGTTGCTGCACAATATGGAGCTACTAAAATTGACTGTGTCTCTGAAAGACAATCAGCTGAAGGAAATGAAGGATTCACACACCCTGCACGAAGAGGAGTTGGAGGAGAAGATAGCAGATGTTTCTCATCAACGCCAAGTTCTGCAAGCACGACTTGAGTATTGTGAGCAAATGCACACCGAAGATAAAAGTCAGCATGGACGACGTATGGCTGCACTCGAGCAAAGCCGGCAGGAACTGAACGAGAAGTGCAATGCATTGCAGGATGAGTTGAAAGGTCTGATGAATGTCTGTGACAAGCCTCTTCTAACAGCTACAGAATTTCAAGCTTTGAAAAGCCGTCCTATTGATCGGCTCCTTCCTTCCAACCTCTTGCAGGTAATGTGCAAAGAAAAGGATGATACAGCCGGCATCTAGCACAGCACACACACACGTAGTACACACACACACAACACATGCACACGTACACACACATGCACAACACACACACACACACACACACACACACACACTACTCCATATACAACTGTCACAAAATGGCCACGTTGTTCCCAGAAGCGGGAGACAACTGCGAGAAAGGAAAAGAAACAAGGAGGGGGGGATTGATGTGAAAGGAGGTCGATCTACAGTCAACTTCGCTAATAACGACTGTGGATATAACGACAATTCGCGAATAACGACAGAATTTCCATGCCCAGAGCAAAGTCCCATCCCACTGTAATACATACAATGAGACTTCGGGTATAACGACACTTCGCGAATAAGGACACCTTTTTGATGCCTCGCCGAGTGTCGTTATAAGCGAAGTTGACTGTACACACAGTTTTCTGTCTCCGGTGGCGGAAGAATTGTTCGCTACATAGGCTGCATTGGATGGGCAGCTTAATCCTCTGATCCCTTCGCAGTCGTTAGCCTCGAGTACAACTATGGCAGTTAACAGCCTGACTCATCATACAGCTATCACAGGTCGAGCAATGGTGCTGGCAGCACTCCAAACACACACACACACACACACAGACCACACACACAGACCACCACACACACACAGACCACCACACACACACACACACACACACACACACACACACACACACACACACACACACACACACACACCTCAGACCTCAGACATGCCCATCGCGGAAGCGATGATAGCGAACAGCTATGTTAGACATAGCAACTTGTGCTGGGATTACACCATTCAACAGCTTTTCACACACACACACACACACACACACACACACACACACACTGCATCAGGTGAGAAGACTATGCCTATGGCACGAAAAGCGATACACTACCGTCTTACTCAATGATGCAGACAGCCAGACTGTTTCGGCCAATGAGGCCTCATCAGTGCAAGTCCGAGCTTTTAAAATAGGATTGAGCTGTCAGCCATGGCTGCGAGAACCACAGACATTAGGACAGCTCGGTGTACTAGCGCTGAGAGTGCTCAAACTGCTAGACGCAGCGGGCAAAGCATAAAGCTAACCAGCGCAAGTGCGTCCTATTGAGAGTGCTCTACAAGATCGAAATCGAGGAGCGAAATACTCAATGATGCAGACAGCCAGACTGTTTCGGCCAACGTCATAATTATAATGTTGTACTACAATTCTCACCTGATGAAGTTTTCCTTGAATGTACCATGTCTACCTCACTGTTTCTTTCTTATCAATCCGGATGAAGGCCCAAGGCCGAAGATTTGCCTGAGTTTTCTTTTTTCTCCGAATTCACTTTAGAGACCAATTTCAGCGGAGTGTTGGTGTTTTACGTAGTTATTTACAACACCCAATGCCTCGGGTATGCTGTGTTCAACTAAGGTGTTGCATATCTGTAGCATATTTTCGCTGTGATGTTTTGACTGCTGATTGTGTTTGGTTTGGTACAGGTTGCTCTGTACGAGTCCGTTCAGCCGGTGCTGCAGGAAAAGGACGAATTAGCTAAGCAAGTGGTATTTGCCCAACAGCAGGCTGCAGAGTGCCAGGAGGAAGCCACCCGCCATATTACCGTAAGTCTTTCATTTGTTCCCCGTCTCTGTATACTGCAGTGTGACTTGGCATTCCTGTGATCTAGCAGCGATTTTCGTTATTAGTTTGCTTCACACCTTTTATCAGTCATTACGTATGATTTATAATGCAGTGGCAGTACCAGGCGTGGGCCATCCCCTGGGTGCCTTATCAACAAAAAAAGTCTCTGTATACTATACCGGCGGCTAATCAGTACTATCTTTTCTACCGTGTCCGTCTGATTAGCACTCTCTCTCTCTCTCTCTCTCTCTCTCTCTCTCTCTCTCTCCCTTTTCAGCGTCCATTTTTCTGCTGAGTATCATGCTGCAGCACGGTGGTCATCCTAGGCTTTTCAATGTTTTCATTCTCCCTGTGAACGTTTCCTTTCTGCCAGGCCTGCTTTGGGCTACATGTGGATATACGTCTGTGGGAAATGTGTGGTGGGTAGTGTTGTAGCAATCATGGGCATTGCAAGTCACTTGCTGTTCTAATGCACTGGGGAATTCCCAGATCAGCTCTGCACTACATCTTCTAATCTGCTGCTCCAATGGTAGCCACCAGAGAATACAAATCCAACGCTGCCATGCTCAGTAGACTCGGGTACTCTGCATCCAACCGTGGTACAAACCGCTTTTCGGCAATGTAAAACTTAGACTGTTGGAGGCCCACGCCAAACGCATTGTTTTGTTTTTGTGATGATTGAGGTATTATACTGTATAGCAGTTGGCGATTGGCAGAAATAACTTCAAATATAAGGAGGAGTTGTAGTTGAGCAGAAGGTTACTGCCAAAGTTGTTGTTAAACTTTGCAACCGATAGTGGCTGATCAGGTAGAGCGTAAAAAAGACACCCTACCATTGTAGCTGAGGATTCTCGATCAACCCGACTAAGTGTGAATTTGGTGTTGATCATTTTCAGTTCCTCAGCCACCGCATGTCTTCTGATGGTATCCGGCCCTGTGATATGTTCACTATATTCCTGGTTGCAGATGTATCACAAAGAAGCTGAACAGCGGCACAAAGTACAAATGCTCTGCACGGAACTGCAAGAGCAGCTCGAGAAACACGTTCTATTGAAAATGACAGGGGAGAAGGAGAGAGACTTGCGCATTCTGAATTATGATGATGTGCTCAAGTGAGTTGAACATCTCAGATCACTCTGCATCTCTTTGAGTGTCATGCTCTACTTCAACGTTCATTCATTCTCGTCAATTCCAATAGGTAGTATGGTTTGCTCTTTGATCTCGTTTACAGAGAGTTCCTGCCAGAGACAGTTTATTCCAACACTTTGCTCATTGACAGTCACAATATCAGTGTACCCCTGATGTTGTCATCTTTCTAGGTATGTCTTCTCTAGCTTTGTGTTAGTCTGCCCTGTTGTAACCTAAGAAAATGCTTTGCCTGCGTATTGCTAGGGAGCGTGATGCTGCAGCCAGCCAGTGCCAAGTCTTGCAAAAGGAGGTGGACCGGTTTGAGCTGCGTGTCGCCGAGGCTGTTGCTGATGTTAGCAACTTGACAGAGAAAGTAAGAACTAAGGCAATGATTTGCACCACTGGTTATTGGTGACTGGTGATCGGAGTTTCAATAGGCTGTCAAGGAAATGGCATACGCCTGCCGAGTTAGAGCTTTCGTGCACTGCACAATATCACTGCGCTGCACAATATCACTGCGTTGCACAATATCACTGCGCTGCACAATATCACTGCGCTGTACAAGTCTGTGGTTATACGTGCCCAAAATAAATATCCTCTTCTTCCTTTTGAATCGCTCTGTTGAAGTCCAGTTAAGCCCGATACACATACTGCCCAAAAGTACTGGTATGGTTCGCACATGCAGCGTGTAGCATGGACATGTGGATGCTATGCGCTGCACTGGAGAAAAAATGACTTTACTTGACACAATATTTATTAGGAAAATTGAAATGGAGATGTGAAAAACAAATAGGTGGAGCGGCAATGCAATACAGTGCAATGCAATGCAATGCAATACAATGCAATGCAATACAATGCAATACAATGCAATACAATGCAATACAATGCAATACAATGCAATACAATGCAATGCAATGCAATGCAATACAGTGCAATGCAATGCAATGCAATGCAATACAATGCAATGCAATGCAATGCAATACAGTGCAATGCAATACAATGCAATGCAATGCAATGCAATACAGTGCAATGCAATACAATGCAATTCAATGCAATACAATGCAATGCAATGCAATACAGTGCAATACAGTGCAATGCAATGCAATGCAATACAATGCAATGCAATGCAATGCAATACAATGCAATGCAATGCAATGCAATACAGACTACTTTACTAGCACATGAAATGTAAACTATATCACGTAAATCACGGTTTCGCCCCGGTTTGTGTTCAGTTTGAAATTCCACTTACTCGTATAAGCCTAAGGGTCTATCCACAATATGTAAACAAACAAAAAACACGTAAATATGCCGGATCCATGCGTGTTGCCAAAGTGAATGACCAAAAATGTGTGAAATACGGAACGTGAGTCGTTGAACCCTGTAAAAAAGCACGTTTCTCGTCCGCATGCCTTTTGGTTTTTGTAGTTATGCCATCTGTCCGTTAAAAGCGATGACGCTGAGACAAAACTGATCAGTTATGGGCGGATATGCAAAGAAATACTGTGGGTCTGCCATTCACAACAGGCAGGGCTGCCTTGCTGACGAGCTCGGAGTCCCTCGATTGACAGCCGCTGAGGATAGAGAACTGTTCTCTGAGCCTTCTAAAAGCATTTTCAACAACTCTCCTAGTGCGAAGCTGGGAGTAGTTGAATGCTTCTTGCTGCAGCAAGAGACTTCCGTCGGTAGAGTAGATCCGCATAAGTGTCGAGGATAGGGCAAGGGTGCTACCTCCAATGACGAAGGGCCGCATCGTGGTCTGGTCTACTTGCCACTGCCTGTAGTTCAACCAAGCACCATTGTCAATGTTCTTCTTCAGGACTGAGTTGTTGTAGACGGCTGCATCGCCAATGCTGTCGGCTGCTCCTACCGCTACGGCAACAAACGTGAACAACCCTCTGCCTTCCACGCCTGCTAACAAAATGACAGCTGGATAGCCTTTATAGCACCAGTATCGATCTCCATACTTGTCAGGGTGCACGATGTTTACAAAGGTACCATCAACTGCCCCGCAGCACATCGGCAGTCCACACAGTTGTTCCAATGGACGCGGAGTGCATTCCACTTGACGGCCAACGGGGAATAGAATGTAGTCGCTGGACACGTGGGGGGCCAAAGAAGAGACTGTTTCATGAACGATTTCGCCAACAGTACTGCAGCCAACATGGCATGATGCAGCAGTTTCTGAATATGTTTCACCTTGCGCTAGACAATACAGCGTAGAGGCGAATCGTTTGGCTAGGCCTATGGTCCTTCTCAGGTGTGTGACATCACGTTGAATCAGGTGACCCTATCTCCGCACAATGAAGAAGAAAGTCTCTTTTGTCATTCGAAAGTTTGCTATCCAGGATTTCTTCCACCAACTGCTAGAGTACTGGCGCACAGTCTCCAGGTTCCCAAGAACTTCCACCTCCCAGAACCCTGTGCTCTGCCCGATTTCATTTTTCTGGGTGATGCGGCTTCACTGACTGACGTCCTTCACAGACGGGCAGGTCCACAGAGCAGAGCAGGCTGGCCATAATCATACAACATACGGGCGAGACAGACACTTCGAGGAAGAGATACTGAAGTTCAGTGAATAGCTGAGCATTGTTCGTAATTGTGGCGGCTCCTGCCGGTCTTGCCATGTCTCCTGCCGGTCTTGCCATGTCTAGAAACTGCCGGTCTTGCCATGTCTAGAAACTGCCGGTCTTGCCATGTCTAGAAACTGCCGGTCTTGCCATGTCTAGAAACTGCCGGTCTTGCCATGTCTAGAAACTGCCGGTCTTGCCATGTCTAGAAACTGAAATGCAAATAGTTTAATACAGTAAAACCTTTCTAAGACAACCGCTCGAGGGACCTTACAAACAACCGCTCGAGGGACCTTACAGACAACCGCTCGAGGGACCTTACAAATGTGGTCCCCGTGTACAGGTGGTCTTCTTACTCGGGGCTATTTAACTGGGTAAAACACCCCTTGGTACTGGCTGCAGTGGTCTTCTACATAGGACAGGTGGTCGCCTTGTTAGAGTGGTCGCCTTCATAGATTTTACTGTACATACGTATATACAAGGCTTCAAGTCAAAATTATTTTGACGGGGGGGGGGGGGGCATGACCGAACTTGTTCGTTCCGTGAAAAACTACTTCGAAGTATTAAGTAGTTTCAATTTTGATGATGCCGGATGGCTCCTTATGTGTACTGGTCTTGCAATGCGAAGGGCATAATGGGGTCATCACTTGTTTGTTTCTCGTTCATGCATAAACTATGTTTGTTGTGTGTTGTGTGTGTTGCGGGTATCTGTGGTGTTGCACCTGTTGTGTAGGTTAGTGCAGCTGAGAGACAGGTTGAGTTGCTGCAACAAGACAAGGCCTATCTCACACAGCAAGTTGATGCCAGTAAGCACCATCAACACTTGGCTGAGGATCGAGTCGAAGAAGTGCGTCAACGACTGCACGCAACCACCACTACCTTGGAATCGCTGCAGACTACGACGACTGCTGAAAGGTACTGGATGTACTGACTCCTGTTTATACTTGTGCAATGCCGTATGTGTTAGTGCCAGCCCTGGCAACACAGAACAATGCTTCACGAAGCCAGCCCCCCCCCCCCCCCCCCCAGCATGTGTGGTGTATATTTAAATAAAATTCTTGGTGTCTGTAATAGAGAGGTGTAGCAACTCGTAAAACAAATACTGAACGAGCGCCTGACTCATTTTCGCGTCCCATGTCAAGCTCAACTGACCGAGGACTGGATGTCTTTGACGAGTCCATCCTCAGTTGCACCTGCTAGGAACTTGTTACGCACTGTTGCAAGTTGCCTAAAACTTCCTAATGCCATGCCGTTACTTTGGTCGTGCATGTGCAAGTACAGTGCTGCTGTTCAATGAAATCCGATCGTGTGAGTCAAGTTTGCACCTTGCACCATTTCACAGCTCAGCGCTCACAGGTCTAGGGCTGCACAGTGCCCAGCATGTACTTGACTCACTCGATCGGATTCCATTGAACAGCAGCACTGTACATGTACATGTAAAGCTGACAATGCAGTGGACTGTGGACCGGTCTGTGGCACGTTTATGTGCAATGCCGTTGATGCTGTACTCTCTTGCGCAGAGGCGAGCGCCACAAAGAATGGAATGACCGCTTGTCGCAGGAGTTGAGTGCGATCAAGGCACAGACCAGTGAGGAAATACAGCGCATCCGCTCGCAAAGTTCTGACGCTGTGGAGCGCGAGACACGGTGGGTGTGCTACTGGTTTACTGGTGTGTTGACAGTTGCTATTACTTCATGCTGCATCAAGCACCAAACATCTTCACCGGTATGACATTTTAGGACTTTGTAGCAATTATTTAAAAATACTTATCATGCACAGTGTGCTTGTTCATGATACGAGTACTCGCCTTCCCATCATTGTAGTGTTTGGCGAGTACAGGCAATAGGGTATGGCTGTATTGTATGTGTGTGCTGAATAGCTCTGTACTCGCCGATGTACCTTGTTGATGTGATACAGGCTACTGAAAGAAGCACTGGAGCGTTGTCAGCTGGAACGTGACAATGCACGTCACATGCAGCTTGATCTGGATTCCAAGCACCAGGCCTTGCTTCTTGAGTAGGTTACTGCAACACTTCCTGGTACTGTGTACATGTACCAGTACATATGCTTGTAGCGTATAGTGCCAGGAGAGTGTCCCACCACCTGAACCCCTCCATGGTCCTGGGTTGGAGGTGAGGCGGATAAGAACTCTTGGCTGTAGGTCTTGCGACACATACATTTTTAGAATGAAGTGAAAAAAATTCAGGATGCAGTCAACTTCTGATAGGTTGTAGGCGATTTACACAACAGGTATATCACCATGATCTTCCTGCACGCAACCAAATTTGTCCGCGGACATCAAAACTCAAAAGTGTTCAGGAGCACTTTGCCCGCGGATGCACTCATCTGTGGGCACTTTTACAATCGTGCCTTTTTGTAGTATCCAGTGTACCTGGTAAAATTCTAGCCTGTTCGTTCTTCGGCGCATCATTCTTTGGCGTCTGACTTATTTTTTGTGCGATACGGTAGTTCTTTGTAGCCAAAGCTTTTTCGACTGTAGCCTTCATGCAATGTTATGTCATGCCATCAGTTCATTTTTTTGCGGATTAAGTTAAGTTGGTGGTCAGATGATCTAACAGCTGTACCACCCGTTTCAATCTTCATGCACAGTGGCTACAGGCAGGCTATACATAGAGCGCATGTGTGTGTTTGTGTGTGCGTGTCTCTCTTTGTGTGGGTGTGGGTGGATGGGTTCACAGATTTCAACGTCTGGAGTCCACTGGACAGAACCAGCTTTCCGAGTGTCAGCATGAATTACAACTGAGGGCGTTTGAATTGGAGCGCCTTCGCTTGCTACATACTGACTGTGCCAGCAAGGAGCAAAGTGCCAAACTAGATGCTACAAAAGTAGCTAAGCAACTTGAGGTCAGTGACTAATAGTGATTAGGGGAATGTGAACCAGTCCCCATTTCCAACTTGACACACCGCCTGTGTTTTGACTTAACCAATCTATTATTTGTAGGTAGCCCTATCCTCCATATTCCCATCAATCATCTGCAAAAGTACCACGTGCCTTTGCAGCTACATGTATCAAGCAAACACGATTTTCCTTGTTGAGATCCAGCTTTTGAATGACCCTGCCCACTGCCGTTTAGATTCATGGGGCGTAAAGTATCATGTAAAGTTAGCTCGTTTGCGCTAGCATTACCCAAGTGTTGAGAAACACTCAAGCACAGACCTTCGCATTGGTATGCCACCACTATGCCCTGATACCTCAGTGGCAGATATCTGGCACAAGGCAGATGTCTCACATGTGAATAAGGTGGGGGGGGGGGGGGGGGGAGGGGGGGGTACCACTCACCATACCAGTAACTCCCTCAGCCCACGGACGTGTAATGGCCCAATCACCCCATACACCGTATGCTTCAAGCAAGTAAGCACACAGTTAGTTAGCAACTTAGCCGTGGGTGTCAACACTGATGTAGAACTCGGGACCTAATGATCCACAGGGAATCCTTCAGACCACTCGGCCATACAATGAGCTGGCATTCTTGAATCGATTCTGTTTCTGTTTTTGCATTGCTGATACAATTACATGTACATACAAGCTTGGCAGTAGTCATTACTTCATGGCCGAGGTTCTATACATATATCCAAGGTCAACTGACTGGAATAGGATACACTGTAGTGTGCAATGCCCTCCAAAAAATACTTACTACCCGGTGCAAAGAGAAGGGTACCGTATTTTTCCGGTTGTAAGTCGACCTTTTACGACTAAAAATAGAAGGAAAAAGGGTGGGGGTCGACTTACAACCGGGATTCGACTTATAACCGGGAACTATCAGTATCTTACAAAAAATGACCTGCACTGCATGCACGAGTGCACCATGTGAACACATACTGCCAGTTTAATGGCATTTTTCAAGGATTGGGACGTTATACCCTCCAATAAGGAATGTTTACATGATTTGTTGATGTGTTAGTAGCAGGGAGTGGTTAGTAATGCTTCGTTGGGTGAAAACTTTAAAACGCAGAATTGAGACCTCCAGATACGGGGGTCGACTTATAACCGGGGTCGACTTACAACCGGTAAAATACGGTATGTTGCACTGTGTATCCTGAACTGTTTCATATTGTATTAATTTTGTGAACAGGATAGACGGGCAGCTCATGGCTTACACTTTACATAACTAATGTTCTGCTGTATTTGTTCTTGCGTGTGCTGTCGTGCTTCACTTGCCCAGCTTGTCAAGGAAGAACTTCATGAAGCTAAGCGTGAGTATGACCGTCATCTTATGCAAGCTGACCTGGAAAACCGCAGCCTGAAGCAACGCCTGTCGTCATATGAAGCCCTGGAGAAAGAGTTGGAAGAAACATTAGAGGAAGCTGCACACGGTATGTAAGCCCATGATTCACAGTTTGATTATGTGTGAGTGTGCGTGCGGGCATGCGTGTGGATGGGTGTTACCATGCGTGTGGGCATGCGTGTGGACATGCGTGTGAGTGGGTGTGCACATGTTTGTGGGCGTGGGTGCGCGCGTGCGTGCAGTAGTACCCAGTACGTTCCACTCCGTTTCGTACTAACCTGATTGTGCTACTTTGCATGGTGTGCACACATTGGTTTCAGCCTCTGCTTGACGCCAGGACTCTAGGTGAGCTGGTATTGTGTTTCTTGTGTACGTGTAGTGTTAGCAATCTGACATTCGATATTGTTACTGGTTATTGTTGTCAGATGTAAACCGTAGCGCAGGTACTGGTCACGAACACTTTGCCACTGCCACTGCTACTGCCGCTGCCATGAACACAGCAACTTCTCAAGGAGCTGCTGATGCTGCTTCAGGATTCAAACCCTCTATGCCACCGCCACCACCACTCCTGGCAAGCGGCCATTTTGCCACCAGCCGTCACTGGCAGAACCGGTACATAATTATAATTATAATATAATATAATTATATAGTAGGCCACCAGTCACAAAGATTTATTGGGGAATGCATATTATAACTGCGCGGACATGACAATAGGGAAGGTATGCCATTTGTTGACAGGTGAAAAGCCTGGGCTTTGAGACCGGTCTGGGTTGAGCCTTGTTTGCATCTCATGATCAGATTCCGTATCGAGCATACTTCACTAGTTTGCATGAAACGATATGGCAGACTGGGGCCTCTGCTGTCTATCTGCAAAGTCCTTGCGGGTGCGTCCGCGTCAGTGCCAAGCCATGATCCCATGCCGCATATGCCCTTCAAATATACATGAAAGAACCGTGTCGAATGACTGCAATTGTAAACTTCGCAAGCCTAAAGACGAGATTTTGAACGAAGGGAGTACAGCTTGTTTTGTTTGCATTCAAATAAAAAAATGACTTAACCTGTCTAATAGCGAGCTTTGTTGGCTTATTAACAAGCACAAATCACTTGCGATTTGCCTTCTCGTTTCTTTTTTTCTTTTATTGGCAGCCTGTCTGTAGCAAGGCGACTACTTCAGTGTGACAGGGAGTGTGTGTATTTGCGACGGCAACTTGCTGATGAAAAGGAGTCCGTGCACCGCCTACAGCAAGAGGTACTGTGTGTACTAGGTACATGACTGTGTAGCTACTGGCGCACAGTGGTGACAAAGAAACCCATCCCCTGGTTTTGTGTGCTTCACTGCAAGGGCAACAATGCCTGCTCTTTGCATGATTTTATTGTGCACAGAGTAGCCACGTCCGTACCTGCAATAACCCACGTGAAATAAAAGGCCGGTTTTCGTTTACCATCACGGTGCCAGTTTAGGGGTCACGTGCTGGTGAACATAGGCTACGTATGACTGTTGCTGCGCTCATTTTGGCGTACATAAACTGGACCAGGGCTGCATCCATGTGTTACCAAGAGACTTATAGACAACTTCATAATATTATTGTTTTCCGCAATGCTTGTGTCTGTTGTGTAAGTAGACTTTGTTTTCGTTCGGAATTTTGTGTGTATTGTTCGGCATCCGGAGCGAACCATAATTACAGTGCTGACAACTGAAATCCAACCCCCTGAGCGGTGCGCTCACATCGCAAAGACCCGGCATGGGATTGTAACACTACGAAATAGAGGCCGCTATAAAGTGAACACACTGCCCAGGGGGTCGGATTTCAGTTGCCACCGGTTTAATTCAGAATGAATATGGGCGAGTATACTACAAGTACACATGTATGATGTGGAGTGAGGGTCTGCAGTCGTGTATGTGCCAACATACAATTATGCTGAATGGACATTCCCTCTTCTACGGTACATGGGATGTTCCATTCTATGTCTGTGTCTGTCTGTATTGTCTCAATCTATATCATTCTACTGGCATTGTGGAATGCGTCACTCCATGCCTGTGTCTGCTTGTGGTGTTTCGTTGTGTTAGCTGGAAAGCAATCAACAAGTCTTGCGACAGACCCAGCAACCCATGTCAGTCCTCATTCAAACCATGCAGTCAAGAGATGAACAGCTGCGGCGACTTGAGCACACCGTTACCAAGCTTCAAGCTGATCTTGAGTAAGAACCTGCCGTTCTTCACGCTGTGTACAATGAAAATCCGACTCGAATGAGACGCACACCTGGTTACTGGCGTGGCACCAATTGTTTTGCTGTAGACCGGCTTTCAGCAAGTAGATCAACCATGTAGATGAAGCAGAATGGCAGGTCAGGCAATTTTTTAACTTGAGCTTCCACCATTCCTCAGAGCGCGCCATATCCGGGAATGTTGTCTCGGGCTTATCGAATCAGAAAGCAGGGTCCGCTAGTCCGTAGTCCGGCAGTTTCATGCTGACGACGGAGACCTAGGGCCGGGTTGGCATTGGTCTTTGGTCTTCTGAACTGGTTTTTGCCATCCATGCCAAAAGGCTTTGCCGCGGCTGCTACTGAATCATGTGGCGCTGGGCCTCCAGGTCACTTGTAGAACTGAAACAAGCAACATTGTTTGTTTGTGAGTCCTGTGGCTAATCAGCTTGTTTAGTTGACATGAAGTGTCATCGACTCAAACTGTTGTTCATTCTATCTTGTATGGTTGATGTTGTAGATGCGTGCATGCTGAGAAGACATCATTACTCAAGGAGAAGACTGCACTGTTGTCTGATCTGGAACACCTCGTCCATCAACAAGAGGTAACGCAACAATCAGTGCTGACACATCGTTTAAAAATTACTCGTGGGTCACGCCTATGGTCCTGATAGTGTGATAGACCAAAGTGTAGGATAATTTTAGCAAGTATTTTTCGTGGAGTGAGAGAGAGAGGGGGGGGGGGGGGGGAGTTGAGTGGTCTTTTTCAAGTAAAAGAATTGCAATTTGCAAGAAGCATCCATGTCTGTAGTTTGCTCTTGTTTTGTTTGGGCTTTGTCACGCCTTTGTGACGATCTGTGTCCGGATGCTCTGCTTTGTATGGGTTATCTCACCAAGACTCTGAAGATTATTCAACTCTGATAATTGAGATATGGGTGCTCTGTGTGATGCCCTGCCCTACCCTGCCTTCCTTTAGTATGCAGTGAAACGATGATTACATTTAGGCTCGCTGGATTTAAATTTTATTACTTTTCAAATTGAATGAATTCACTTAGATACTCCATGCCATACGGTAGCTTCTGAAGCATCACACACAAAACCTTCCTATGCCTGTGAGAGAATCACGCTGCACTATTCAAAATAAATAATGATGAGCCCGCCCGGCTGATTCCCCAGCCCATGGCTATTTAACCCTTTGAGGTGCCACTGAACGCGTGAAAATGCGCAATTGCAGTTCACTCCACCATTTCCATCATAACTTACGTTCTGTTTGCTTGATTTTGACAGTCTAGGGCTCTTTGAAACGCTCTTTCCGCTGCCAAGAGAATGAGGCCACGCTCAACTCCGTGGGTGCCACAAAGCCTGCTCCAGAGCGCAGGGAATCGCCATAGGTCGGGCCTCGTGTTGAAAGAAATACTTCTAAATTTCATCCCAATGCCATTTCGCTGTCGTTTCTTGCACAGCTCTGGATTTTTTTGCATCTCAATCAGTAGTTTCGACGTCATGACACCCACACGTCATCAGCTGGCTGCACACCACGTGATCCACGGGAAATCCCCGAAGCACGAGGCAAAAAAATGATTTTGAGACGTTTGAACAATTTAGTGCCGCGATCAAACTTTCGAGCGCCATATCTTTATCATCGTTTCTCCTATCGCAAAAGCGATTACACCATTGGAAAGCTTGGAGCTTCCTCTTTGATCTACATATTTCGATATTTGCAACAGGACAAAAATCGATGGAGTTACGACAGTTTTACGGTACGTAAACAATATCAGTCGTTAATGACTGATGCACCGCTAAGGGTTAAAGGGGAACTCCACGAAAAACGAAAAATTCATATCCTGTAGAGTTTCGGGCGCTGAGTCGAATGGTCTTGGTCCGAAGGCTGTACGACAAAGCGTTCGGGTGATATTGCACTTTGAACCACGCCCCCATACCAATGTATGTGTGACGTCCTTGTGGCCCGGTGCGAAACTACTTTGGATTTTGAATCTCACTTTCTTCAGGAAGAAAGTCACTTCAGAAAGTAGTTTGCTAAGTCGCCTGAAGCGCCGCGATGCCAAATTGTTGTGCTGTTGGTTGTGCCAGTAGCACAGAATCCTCCTGGGGTTAGTTTTGTCAGATTCCCAAAGGATGGCGACCTGGCAAAGGGCTGGGATGTTGCAATACGTCGTGAAAACTTTCCACCCGATTTTCGCAGCACGAGCTATGTTTGCTCGCTGGATTTTGCTAAGATGCGGGCATCATTTGGCTTTCTTTTTACACTCGCTGCATAAGAAGACAGCTTGTTTGCGGGAACTCAGGCTGTCCTTGTGCATGGCTTTTACGCTGCTAGATTACCAGTCTTCATTCTTGATTTTTTGTGCGACAGAGCTGTGCGGGGAGTGAGGTAGCTGCAGTGGCTCTCACTAAGTACATCCCACTATTGGTTAGTTGGTTTCACTTCTAACAATGTTTTGCTTGCAGGACTTCACTCAGCTACGCGAGGCTATTCAATCTCTTCAAGACCGCCGCCAGGCCCCCAGACGACATCCAGACAAGCACCGTGCTGGCAAGACATCTGTCAAGCTTGCTCTTGATGACATTGAACGAGAAGGAGCTAAGTCAGTGCCTTCTTCAGCAGACACCAAACCTGAAGCATATAGAAGACATCAGAGTGATGGTAACCGTTCCAACAGACATGGCACTACCAATTCTCTCCGTTCCCATGCCCGTCATCCGCAGCCAGTTGCAGTTCGCCAAGAAGTCATTCAGCCAGCGGAACTGGGTGTGCTTTCGCAACCCGCACCGACTATATTTGTAAGCGGTGTTATAGCCCATGTCTGCTCTGTATGCGATGATCACAAACAATGAGATGCAGATATAGGGGGGAGAGAGAGAGAGAGAGAGAGAGAGAGAGAGAGAGAGAGAGAGAGAGAGAGAGAGAGAGAGAGAGAGAGAGAGTGAGAGAGAGAGAGAGAGAGAGAGTGAGTGAGAGAGAGAGAGAGAGAGTGCCGGAGAGAGAAGAAGAAGAAGAGAGAGTAGGGGTATTTCAAGCTGCCTATTCTCCTACAGAATGCATGCATAATGGTATGTGCCTCATATGTGCTGTGCCTACCTGCAGACTAAATCGTCTTCGGCAAACCCAAAGAAAAGGACCAAGCCCCACTAGAAACTAGCACTATGACTAAACAACACGAACAGCTTGATCCCGGAATTCTTCTCCCATATGTTTGATCAGATAGACCGTTCTTTTATTCTTGAGAATTTTCTTTAACTGGATTCTAAAAGAAAGTATAATTATTTCAAAACTAACAGTCATCCTTGAGAATCAAGGCATATCAGAAACGACACGGCTCTTGTTTCTTAGTTTTCTCTCAATCGGTGTGTGCATTGAGCTGATTTAGTCAAATGTCTACACTTTCATAGCACGCTTCTCAACTTGTAGTAGAAATTTTCCTCCTAGATACAAATGATTAATTTTTGTATACACTCATTCGCAGGATTTATTATCAGCCTTTAAATTCCTAGAGTGGAACATCTTTCCCTTTGCCAATAAAGTACTATTGGGCAAACAAGTTCCTCTGCAACGGTCATCTAACGGCTGCGCTGGAGTACGTCGCATTACCATAGCGGCGAATGTCTTGACACGGACCAGGGCTTCTGCAATCCACATTACTGCATTCTGTTACCTATCATAGCATCTGCAAACACTGATTGGCAAGCAGTAAGTCGTTGATCTGATTGGTATCAGCCGTGCTATTCCCAGTATACACCATACACTATTGCCGTCGCATACAGTGTCTTATTACGGAATGACACGGAGGCAAATGTGTCAGTTTCCGGGTCCCAAAGGCATCGGCTGACTACTTTCATGGCTTGGTCTTGAAACGAGCCAATGTTGACAATGCAGACGATTTTGTAACGCTCGTAGTTCAACTCTTTCACTCTGTTGCGGATAAGCTCGGTCAGCGTGAAGGTCATTTGTCTGCATGTCTCTCGGCTATACTTCATGTCCTTGAGATTCTCCTCCAGTGCTTGCTTTGCAACAGCTTCCACCTACACAACAGCACGCATACACAGCACATACACACCCACCCACACAACAGTACACACATAGGTTACCAGTGTATTTGTAAACAAATCCATAGGCCCAGTGGTTAGTTTCGTACACAGAAACGGAAGTAAACGTGAGTGGAGAGACAGCTTTCACTTCTTATTCGCCTTACAGTACCTACAGTGATATAATGCAGGGAATAGAGAGGTTGCGCACAACGAAACATAAGATTTGGCCGTTACAGCCTGTGGCAACGGCAGAACAAGACCTGAACAATGAAAATCACTTTCATTGCAATGACCTTATCGCCACCCAGTAATGTACGGCACCTGTGTACTGCTGTACATTGAGTGCATGCCTAACCGTTGAGACCTATTTCCCGTACTCAGAAAAACCAGACATTCCAACTTTTGCGCAAGCTCCGAATCAACCGATTTCCGTAGCCTTTTTCGTCGTTCCCTGATCCGTCGAACGCTACGGAACTGTGTTGTGCGCAACCTCTCTAGTGCTGCAGAATAATCCCTATTTCCCAGGGGAATTTAGAGGTCTTCGTCCGCGCTTTCCCAAAAGGACTGGTTTGTGAGTAATTAGGCGCATCAATTTCACTTGGATACATGCGTAAAACAGAGTACAGTATTCGATGATGCCTAACATTTATAAGCACACTTCAAACTGTTCAAGGTCTCTGGGAAAACGTACTTGGAGAACCGTGTCGCAGATCAATAGTGACTCCGCGAATGGCCTAGTTGATTCCCGAGTTCCTGGGTATGCAATGCAAGTAGTGCACCATACTCACTCACTCTCTCTCTCACACATACACACACACACACACACACGCACACATGCACACGCAACCGCAACCGCGCCCGCACATTGCCGTCATTGGCTGTTCCCGCAGCCTACCTTTGCAGGACTGAACTTCACATCTGGCTTCATTTTGTATGTTGGTTCATAGAGAATTCGTGGTGCTTGAACAGTGGAGTCTTTGGCAGCCGGATTGAACATATTGAGCGTGCTCCGCGTGAACGATTGCCTGGAACCCGTCAAATTCTTGGTACTGGCTCTCGGTCCAAACAGCAGCGAGCGGCGTGTATCTGGGGCCAGCGCGTCCAACGACGGCTTCTGGCCTCCTTCCTTTGGTGCAGCCATGTCGTAGCGAATGTGTTTGTGTAGCTTCTGATCGGTACAACGAATGATTCAACTGAAGCAATGCCGAAAGCTGGCGGATAGCTAGCACTGAGAAGTACAACACGGCTAAGGGCAGTCTTCTTGGGCCAACAATCCCAACCAAGTGATGAAAATGATACCGTGATTCCACTGGGTTAGCGTCGTCACTACAAACCTTGCTGTACAGCCTACTACAGAGCTAGGGCTCACGACCACAAAATGCAGGTCCTGAATGCTTTCCCTGTCAGCTCTGCCGGCTTTCACTGAGCCTATCAGGCTATCAGGAAGGATTTCTATCATCGAGGCCGTGCACAGACTAGGTCAGAGGGAGATCTACAGCGCCCTAACCAAGGTCAGTCCTGATATTGATAATACGGTTTTGGTGAAATTATGTGTTGCACTCGCGTCGGTATGTTCTGATCTGGCAACATGCAAGGACTTCGCCTCTTCGGAGTTACTACATGTGTAGTAGGTCCGCAAATCAGTACCGATCAAGGCGATCGGGCGATGTGTTGTTCTCTTCATGTCAACCAGCGTTGAACCACTGCCTGTGACTGCCGCCCATGCCATGCACCGGCTGATTTAGTACAGTCAGTGATCATGGTGATAAAGACAGCCTAAATCTGCTATTGCCGGCGAGCTATGCAACAGTTGCCAAGCAACAGTCGGACACGTCACGACACGAGTATGAGTATGAGTCGAGTCGAGTGGCGCCTAAAATCGACATGACACACATGCACTGACTCAATAATGATAGTGATAGTCTGCTGACAATAGTATGCAAGCCTTGTTTGATGGGAGAATAACAGCAGGTGACAAGGAGGAGAACACAGTAATATTATTATTGTGTTTTATATTGAGAACATGAACAGTGCTCTTGAGTCTTGACTACAACCATAAACCGGTTGCCAAAGTCCCGGTCTTGAAGCCATCTAAACCGTATGGGGTCAAACCCTGGTTCGGACCTTCTTTATTCTAGGGGTGGGGAACGCACCAAAAAAACTTTCGATTTGTGCAGGCAATCTGGAATCTGCCACATAGTGTGTCCCTTTTCTGTTCGTTGGTATCTGTGCATCCATCGTGCATCCGGTGTAAGAAATTAACAAAACCACGGTAGGCACCGGCGGATAATGCTAGTTATAATATGTGGAAATTGTGCTACTGGCACTGCTAGTTATTTGCAGCAATTATGCTAGTTATAATGCTAGCAGTGCTGATAGTGCTGCAAAATTGCTATCCTTGCGGTGGGAAATAATAACTTCCCTATGCAGTCACTCGGAATATGGCAGTATCACAGGGCGAACACAGTGAAAAAATGCTTGCACTTTCATTACATCAGTACAGAGGGCTTCCAGCGTCGCAGGGAGCAGCAGTGAGTCTCCCTCGCAGGGAGCAGCAGTGAGTCTCCCTCGCAGGGAGCAGCAGTGTGTCTCCCTCGCAGGGAGCAGCAGTGAGTCTCCCTCGCAGGGAGCAGCAGTGAGTCTCCCTGCGCTCTAAAAACACGACTACTTTAAAATAGCACTACTTGTCACGGTGGAGCCAACAGCAGACTGGACGTAGTGCTAGTTTCACATATCGATTGTGCTAGACAAGGTCACATTTGGAGACTTTATGCTAGGGCAGTGCCGGTCTTCCCCACATGGGTCATTATGCTAGTTATTATGCTAGTAGTATCCGCCGATGCCTAAACCACACAAAAGACAAGAATAGGAACTTGATAACGGCTGAGAGAGCATTGCACGGGATACACCGATACCAACGAACAGGACGAACTGCGTAGCAGATTCAGATCTCCGGAACAAACCGGTTTTTTTTGGGGGGGGGGCATTCCCCACCCCCAGAATGCATAGAGTCTGAACTCCGAACCGGGGCTTGACACCATGCGGTTCGGATGGTGGCAAGACCGGGACTTTGGCAACCGGTTTATGCTGTTGTAGTCAAGAACACTGTTCTCAACACATTGTGTCCTCCTCCTTATCACCTGCTGTGTGTGTCTCCGCCTTGTCGCATGTGTGTATCTCCATACATGTACATGTAACTAAAAAAGTTACCAGGAACTGAGGAAGTCAAACCTATTTCTGCTTATGGACAGGAGCACTGTTTCTTACTCAGTGTGTCCTCCATGCACCCGGCTGGGATATGCTGCTATCATCATCACAACTGGTAACGTGACTCACAAGCAAGGCTTGTCATCATTGTAGTGTCATGTGACTAGATGCATGAAGCCCATGCATACATGCATTCCGATATCATTCCCACCATCATGATCCACTTACATGATCTAGCATTCCATTCCTCCTTCCCACTTTAGCCCGTATGTATATATCTAGTAGATTGCATGTGTTCGAGGTTCTTTGTCTTATCGTAGTACAACAGTTAGAACTAAGGTCTTGGCTCTCTGGTTGGTCTGGTTAGACTAAAGTACGAAACACTACATGGTGGCAGCGGTCCAGAAGCCATGTCTTCTTCGGACCCCAGCTCGGTTCAGCCCGCTTCCCGCGGATCTTCCCCCGCCGGTGGCGGAGGCAGCAATGGTGGTTCAGGTAGCTCCTCCGGTGGAGCGCCTTCTACGTCTTCTTCGGCGCCCGAGCCCGCCCAGGTTTCTCTTCCGGGGATGGTTCACCTCTCACAGGTGTCCCCTCCATCGTCGTTCAATTTCCAGGCTGCAGATCAGTGGGTCCGCTGGCTGCGTCGTTTTAACCGCTATCGTCAGGCGTCTGGTCTTCACACCCAACCGGAGTCGGTCCAGGTGAACTCCCTCCTCTACACGATGGGCGAGCAAGCTGACGACCTACTGGACAGTTTCCATCTACCTGAGGATGACGTGAGTAAATTTACCACAGTCACTGAGCGTTTCACTGCCCACTTCGGCAAGAAGAGAAATTATGTGTACGAACGTGCATGTTTCCATCAGCGCACCCAACAGCCCACGGAGTCACTAGATGCATTCGTAAATGATCTCTACCGCTTGGCAGATAGGTGCAACTTCAAGGCCATGCACGATGAGATGCTCCGGGACCGGTTGATCGCAGGGTTAGCAGATGCACGTCTTTCTGAACGCCTGCAAATGGATTCGGATATGACGCTGGAGAAGGCGCTGGCTCACGCTCGCCAAAGCGCTGCCATCAAGGAGCAACAAACGACGGTACGTGCAGCAGCTGATCAGTCGTTGTTTGCTGTCCGCCAGGATCAGGGGCGGCTGCGTTCTAGTCGCGATCGTCCTCCGCTGCGTGATGCTCCCAGCTCCTCGCGCCACTCGACTCCATCATCTGATTCTTGTCCCTGGTGCGGATACGAGACACATCCCCGCGCACGATGTCCTGCAAGTCGTGTAACCTGCAAAGGGTGTGGCAAGACAGGCCACTTTCAACGAGTGTGCCGCTCTTCGCCACCATCTGGTTCCTCCGGTTCTTCTGCACGACAGGGCACTCATCAGTCCCCGCGGGGCACAGGTGTCCATTCTCTCTCCAGCCACAGTGATTCCTCTAGCTCGGCAGTGAGTTCTGCTGACGCATTTCTGGGCACCCTGACCCATGGCACAGGCTGGAATCTCCCTATGCTTCTGCACGGCAAGACCATAACTATGAAGGTCGACACGGGTGCGGATGTCACTGCTATACCAGCTACAGTGTTCACGTCCCTGGACTTGCCTATCTCGCTCGCCCCATCGAACCGTACTCTCCGGGGCCCAGACAACACAAGCCTCAATGTTTGTGGCCGGTTTACAGCTGACCTGCGCACAGCTCACTCATCTCAGTCTCACTCCGTGCCCACCCAGGTGTACGTGGTCCGCGACCTCAAGCTTCCACTGCTCGGACGTCCAGCCATTGAGGCACTCGGCATCCTGCCTGCTCCTGCTAACGTCCTGGAGACCACCTCTACCTCAAATGACTCAGCTTCAGACTCTCGCTCTCCTGTTGCCGCTGAGTTTCCTGACCTGTTCTCGGGCCTAGGTACCTTCGGTCCTCTCCACACCATTCAACTTCGCGATGAGGCTCCTCCATACTCGCTCTCCACTCCTCGGCGAGTTGCTCTGCCCATGGAATCGAAGGTTATTGAAGCCCTCCGTCGCATGGAAGCCGCTGGCGTCATTCGCCCAGTGTCCGAACCGACCGATTGGTGTGCCGGCATGGTCGTTGTGCCAAAACCAAACGGCAGCGTGCGCATCTGCGGTGACTTCACACGGCTCAACAAAGCCGTCAAGCGCGAACGGCACATTCTCCCTACCACGGACCATCTCCTCGCTCGCCTCGGTGATGCCAAGGTATTCTCCAAGCTGGACGCTAACAGCGGGTTTCACCAAATTCCGTTGGCGCCAGAGTCGCAGCTTCTAACCACCTTCATCACGCCCATCGGCAGATTCTGCTACACGCGGCTCCCCTTTGGCATCTCCTCGGCACCCGAGTATTTTCAGAAACAGATGTCAGATCTGCTCAGCGACCTCCCTGGCAACATCTGCATGATGGACGACGTCCTCACATTCGGCTCCACCCTCGAGGAGGAGGTCGACAACCTTCGACCAGCTCTGGCCCGTCTTCAATCCGCCGGTGTCACGCTCAACAGCGAGAAGTGTCAATTTCATGCTACCTCGATCAAGTTCCTGGGCCACGTGATTGATGGCTGTGGCATCCGTCCAGATCCAGACAAGATCCACGCGATCCAGGAGCTCTCTCCCTGCTCCGATGTTCATTCCGTCCGCCGTCTGCTCGGCATGGCCAACCACCTAGGCAAGTTCATTCCGGACTTGGCCTCCATCACGCAACCTCTCAGGTCTCTCCTCGTCAAAGGCACCCCGTGGCAGTGGGGTGCTGAGCAGTGTGCCGCGTTCGACCGCATCAAGACGTCACTGAGTAACGAGCCCGTCCTGGCCAAGTACTCTCCCAACTACCACACTACAGTATCTGCTGATGCATCTTCCTTTGGCCTGGGTGCAGTGCTTCTACAACGCCAGCCCGACGCGTCCGTCCGTCCTGTAGCCTATTTGTCTCGCTCTCTCACACCAGCGGAAACGCGCTATTCGCAAATCGAGAAGGCTCTGGCTGCAACGTGGGCCTGCGACCGGCTCTCCCACTACCTCCTCGGCATGCCATTCACCATTGAGACGGATCACAAGCCACTCATCCCTCTGCTCGGTACCCGTGCTCTTGACGACCTCCCTCCGCGGGTCCTCCGGTTTCGTCTACGGCTACTTCGATACGACTACAGTATTATCCACACTCCTGGCAAACAACTCGCAATTGCCGACGCTCTGTCTCGAGCTCCTCTGCGCAGCACAGATGCCGACGCTACTGCCACACCGGAGGCTGAGACCGCTGCTATGGTGTCGTACGTCACTGAGGCTCTGCCTGCCACTGCGCAACGCCTGGAAGAGGTTTCAGCATGGCAAAGCGACGACGATAGCTGTGCTCGCATCATCGAGTATCTGCAGCACGGCTGGCCTGCTCCTAGCGATGCTCCTCCCGTAGTGCAGTTTCTTATAGAGCACAGCGCACATTTCAGCCTCACGGACGACGGCTTGATTCTGTATGATCAGCGTCTCTACATACCTCCCGCTCACCAGCAAGAAATCCTGGCTCGCCTTCACCAGGGTCATCAGGGCATCACCAAGTGCCGACGCCTGGCCCGCACTTCCGTATGGTGGCCATCGCTCTCGTCGGACATAGCTACTCTTGTCCAAACATGCGAAGAATGCAGTCGACACCGCTCTCAGCCACCCGAGCCTCTTCTCTCAACTCCACTCCCAGAGTTTCCTTGGCAACATCTGGCCGCAGACTTCTTCACCATCGACGGTCGCAACCACCTCCTCGTCATCGACTACTACTCTCGGTTCATCGAGGTCCTCGACATGCCCTCGCTCTCCACAGCTCGTACAGTCAGCCATTTCAAGTCACTGTTCGCTCGCCATGGCATCCCTGACTCTCTAACGACCGACAACGGACCGCAATTCACCAGTGCTGAATTTGCCCAGTTTGCATCCACCTATGGCTTCCGCCACGTCACCAGTAGCCCTCTCTATCCGCAAGCCAATGGCATGGCCGAGCGTGCTGTTCGCACGGTCAAAAGTCTGTTCCGTCAGGGCACTGATTGGCACCTCGCACTACTCGCGTACCGCAACACTCCCTTGGAGAATGGTAAGAGTCCAGCCCAGCTTCTGATGAACCGCCAGCTGCAGTCACTCTTACCTCTCTCTCCAACACAGCGACAGTCGCATCCAGTCGATCAGAGCGACCTGCGTGCCGCGGATCAGCTCTTAAAGGATCGCCAAAGCACCAACCATGCCAGTCGCCATGCAGCCCGGACACTGCCGTCTCTGTGTCCCCAACAGCCGGTGTATCTACCTGATCGTGAAGAGTCTGGCCACGTGATGAGCCAACCAGCCTTGCGCTCCTACATCGTAGCAACCCCATCGGGCCAGTTCAGACGCAACCGGCGGCACATTGTCCCAATGCCAACGCCGCAACAGTTGCCGCCTGCTGGTCACTCTGCCGCTACTACCGATCCTGATCCCCCAGCCAGTCAACCTTCTACTCCGCCGTGTCCTGCAGTTCCCAACTTGCCATCGACCCCTCCAGCTCAAGACCAGCCTGATAAGTATGTCACGGCTCGCGGCCGTGTCGTTCACGCTCCCGATCGCTTCTAACGTTGGTCTCTCCAAACAACATACTCCACTCTTCTGTCTCTCCCTCTCTTGCTTGTTCTCTTTCCTAATGGCTTGCATGTGCCTGTGTGTCCTCTGTACACCCTTAGGTCTTTTCTTTGTAAGAGGAGAGGATATACATGTACATGTACAATGCACTATACTAGAATACTCCCTCGGACAGACCAGTGCTTTCAGAACTCTGTAATGGATCCCTTCTGCAACGGTCTTATTGTTTTCATTTTCAAAGTCGTCAGTTAGGTACATGTATCTTCTCCATCTTCTTAATCTACTGCCATATTTGCTCTTACAACCTCAAAGAAAGGGAGGTGTAGTGTCATGTGACTAGATGCATGAAGCCCATGCATACATGCATTCCGATATCATTCCCACCATCATGATCCACTTACATGATCTAGCATTCCATTCCTTCTTCCCACTTTAGCCCGTATGTATATATCTAGTAGATTGCATGTGTTCGAGGTTCTTTGTCTTATCGTAGTACAACAGTTAGAACTAAGGTCTTGGCTCTCTGGTTGGTCTGGTTAGACTAAAGTACGAAACACTACAATCATCACACCTGATAATAATGCCGGTCTACATGTACTTGTAGTACCAAGACTCCAAGACGCAAGAGTGCATACACAGGTTTACGGACTCTTCGTCAATGTTGAGTCAAATGCTGTTTATCCAAACTCCAAAACCATTGCACAATGCTGTCAACGTCACGATCAACAAGCTACACAGCATGTCACACTGGTATCAGGAAACCGGGTTTATTGCGACTCCGGCATCTGCACAATCGCACCATCTGACCAGCCATGTGTTGTTACACCCCCCCCCCCCCTGCCTCAACTTCTTCTCTCACTGGTCTCATACCCAGTGCATGTAGTGGCACATAGTGACACTGACAGTGACACACTGTGACATACATGTACATGTGCCAATAGACTGTGGCCGTTTCGAGGACATGCCTGATTCTGGGAGTCTAGTCTCTGGAACGGCCGTGTCCACCCACCACGCGGCGATCACTGGAGCAGGCAGTTGCAGCCACATCACATCACCCACTCAGTGACTCAGTGACGGCAGCCTTTCAAATAGAACTGTTATGATGCACACAGTATGTGTCACCCAGACAGTGTGCAATTGTATTTTCGATGTTCATATGCCACGAGGAGAGTTGCTCCTGCACTGGAACTCTTTCAAGTACATGACTGTGTAATGACTTTCGCAGTCATCTAAAACACACAACACTCAACTTCGTCCTGTTTTCAACTAACTAATTACTAGAATAAAACCTATAGATAAAGTAGCATGAGTTGCCATCAGCATACAGTGTGAATGCCGCAAGGTCGTACGGTGCACGTGCGTAGTATGCATGATGTCACCAGTCAGACATAAATGGCAATGGGGTAGAATAATGCATAGACAAAGGTCAAACACTATAACACAAATATGGACCCAGATCCACTACATCTCCCCTCTGAGATAAAGAATCCTCTATTAGACTAAACCGAGTGAAAGTAATCGCAAGAAGCAATAAGTACAGAATTTAAGTACAGTACGTAAAGAAGCGAACAAGTAAAGGCGAGTATGGAGATCACAATCATGGATCAGAATCCAACTAGCATACACAGTTCACATCTGTTCCAGCAAACGGTTTGCTGGGACACCTCGAGTGGCCCGTTCCGAACGACGTGGCGCTGCTGGCTGGTCAGCGGTGTTCGGCTCAACATCAACAACAGCTGCGGTGTCGTCCAAGGGTTGCTTGATGACGTGTCGGCGGTTGCGACGAACAGTGCCGGTGTTTGTCTCCACATTGTACGAACGGTTTGACAGGCGTTCCACTACTTTCCCTTCCTTCTTCAAGTCTGGGATCCACACCTTGTCACCAGGCTCTAATGGCGGCAGAGGTCGGGCAGCATGGCGGCTGTCGTAAACCTCTTTCTGCTTCTCCTGCAGGGTGTACTCAGTGGTCAGGAGAGCGGTGATGTCGGGCCATTCTGGGTGAAGCTGCTCTGCAGACGTCATGACGGTCGTGCGGATACGTCGACCATACAAGAGCTGAGCTGGCGCAAAGCCGTTGGCTAGCGGCGTGTTGCGATACGCTAGGAGAGCATCAGGCAGACTCGGGTTCTTCTTGAGAAGCTCCTTAGCAGTTCGGACAGCTCGTTCTGCTTCGCCGTTCGATTGGGGGTAGCGAGGACTGGAGGTTCGGTGACTGAAGTCGTACAAGTGGGCAAAGCTACGGAAGTCCGCACTTGCAAACTGGGGACCATTGTCACTTACTAGGCATGCTGGGATGCCATGGGTGGCGAAGAGACCATGCAGCTTGGAGACAATGCTGGCAGACGTCGTGGAACGCAGCGGGATGACGTCGAGAAATCGCGAGAAGTAGTCAACTACCACGAGGTACACTTTACTATCATGCTCCATCAGATCACAGCCAATGGTGTGCCATGGGAGCTGAGGGCGCGGAACCGGCTGAAGTGGCTCGCTGTGCTGGAGGCGGTGTTTACAGCAGACGGGGCATGCTGCAACCAGTGCGTCTACTTCTTTGGCAAGGCCTGGCCACCACACTGAGTTTCGCGCTAATGCCTTACACTTCGTGGCACCCTGGTGGCCTTCGTGTAGAGTGGCAAGGACAGAGGCACGCTGCTTGGGTGGAATGACGATCCTGGTGCCATGATACAGGATGCCATTGCTGCA